CTATCTTGTATATATATTTGTTGACAATAACAGATCCACAATGGTAGAGTCATAATCATAGTTATTTCTTGAATTCTTTTAAAATATTTACAGGTTCTCAGAAAAAAGAAATTATGGCGTATTATTTAAAGAGAACATTTCAGCAAGTACTAGAAATTTTAATATATTTTTATACCCTCCACCATACTATGGAGGATTTAGCCATGTCCGTCTGTCTGTTGTAATCACGCTATCTTTCGAACGAATTGAGATAGAAGGCTAAAATTTTGCACACATGTATATATTACCAATAGGCAGGTAAAGTTCGTAAATGGGCCATGTAGGTCCACGATATCATATAGCCCCCATATAACGGTTATTTACCGGAATTCTTTCAAATTCGGTATTTGAAGTTCGTAATGGATACTATATCCTAAGTCAAAAAATGAGCCATGTAGGTCCACGTTATCATATAACCCCCATATAACGGTACACCCCCCATCCCGATATTCGGTATTTTGATGATTTTAGCGACATTATTCACCGGAATTGTATAAAATTTGGCATTTGAAGTTCGAAATGGATACTACAGCCTAAGACAGAAAATTGTGTGTGTAGGTCCACGTCTTCATATAGCTCCCATATAAAGGTACCCCCCGATATTCGGTATTTTGATGATTTAGCGATATTATTTAACGGAATCGTTCCAAATTTTGGTATTTGAACTTCGTAATAGATACTGCAGCAAAAAACAGAAAATGGGCCATGTAGGTCCACGCCTTTGTATAGCCCCCATATACCGTACCCCCCGATATTCGGTATTTTGATAATTTTAGCCACATTATTTACCGGAACTGTTTCAAATTTCGCATGTGAAGTTCGTAATGGATACTTCAGCCCATGCCAGAAAATTGTCTGTGGAGGTCCATGTCTTCGTCTAGTCCCCATATACCGTACCCCCCGATATTCGGTATTTTGATAATTTTAGCCACATTATTTACCGGAACTGTTTCAAATTTCGCATGTGAAGTTCGTAATGGATACTTCAGCCCATGCCAAAAAATTGTCTGTGCAGGTCCATGTCTTCGTATAGCCCCCATATAACGGTACCCCCTATATTCGGTATTTTGGTTATTTTAGCTACATTATAAACGGATTTTTCTTTAAGTTTCGCATTTAAACATTGTAATAACTTATGATAACTTCGTCATATAGGCATTCGGTATTTTTAAGATTTTAATAGAATTTTCAACGGATTTTATATATTTTTTTTAAAATTCCCAAATTTTTACCATATGCTAAAGGGTATTAAAAGTTCGGCCCGGACGAACTTACAGCTTTTTTACTTGTTTTTTTATTAAAATTTTCACGGTTCTCTTCCGCACTCTCTAATTTTCTAAGCAAAAATCTGTGTTTTTATACTCTTTACCATACATAAATGACAAACTTAATATACCCTCCATATATTAAGTTTGTAGTTCCGTTTGTAGCTCGTCGAAATAATTATTTTAGATCCAACGAATCCGATTTAGCCATGTCCGTCCGTCTGTGCGACCCTCTCCTATAAAACGTTATCTTCACAAGGAATTGAGATAGAGTGCTGAAATTTGGTGCGTTAGGATATATTTTAAAGCAAAAATCGTGATTTTTTCCAAAATTATGACCCTAAGCAAACTTTGTTGAAAAAGTTCGTAAGGATAGGACGATTGTTGAAATTGTTTGCCCTCTATGGAGTAGTTTTCGAAGGAATGAGCCAATATTGTCCATTTCATATCGTTCCTAATAAATGTGACGTGCCAGGTTTGGACTATATTGACTACTTCCTTCACTTTGTATTAAATATGTGATAATTTTTAAACAAAAGTTGAAATGTGCGTGAGGTACCAGACATTGTCGACTGAAGTATTCCATTTTATAATACAGACAAAAATTTTGGTTGAGTAAAATTACAAGAAAATCGAATCGAAAATCAGAGAATCGTTGACTTGTTTGCAAGCTATGACAGATAAATGTATTAAAAATTCTGAGTGAGGTACAAGAAGGGATTCGCAGATATATATCATCTTCACAACAGATCTTGTGTTAGCAAAAATGTGAGCTGGATGCTTATTTCACTTTCTTTGAAAGTTTTATTTTTCAAAAGCCTGGACCTCACGTGGGGGAGGCACCAGAAGAAATGGTCCAATCTACCATCTTTATAACAGATCTTGTGTTGATAGAAATATTGAGATGTGCCAAGTCTAAATGGAATCGGAAATTAATTTCGCGTTATATAATATTTATGGCTATTCAAAATATTGACCCTTTGTGGGGGAGGTACCAGAAGGAGTGAACCGATATATTCCATCTTAACACTTGGGTTAACCTTGAGTTAATAAAAATATTGGGATGTGTGAAATTGAAGACATCCGGATACTTACATAAAATTTTATTAGATTTATAATTATTCAAAATATTGATCTTTGGGGGGAGGTACTTGATGGGGGACCGATATTTTTCATTTTTGCATCTGACGAAGCACTGATGGAAATTCAAGGATTTGCAAAGTTGAAGCAAAATCGGTTATCCTTCGCTCTGAAAATGTTGACATTTTGTGTGGGAGGTACCAGAAGGAGTAGACCGATATTGCCCATCTCCTAACTCGATCTACGCTTGACAATAATATTACGATGACCGACTTTGTATCAAATCGGATACTCACTTCAAGAGTTAACGTGCGCACCAGTCAGTGCGACGGACGGACGGACATCGCTAGATCGACTCCAATTGTCCTGAAACGGAGATGGTCCAAAGAGACCTAGGGTCTAAAACCGTTATTTCGATGAGGCACGTTTTGGCCGTATCAATGATATATACCCTATATAGCCATATGACTGAGGGTATACAAAGGTTTTTTAATCTCATGCAATTTGTTTATTCCCTTACATTGTTTTCTGAGTTTTTTTTGGTCGGAAACAGCTAAAGTGGCAACTTTCTTCTCTGGCGAAACTTTCATTGTCAGTTAGATATGTTGCTTTAAAGCTCAGTTTGAAATGCTGAAGTTTCGTTAAAACTTTACGCTTTGGAGGTATGTATGTATGAACACAATTTAATATCCAAACCAGTAAAGAAAGTCTTAAAGTCGGGCGGGGCCGACTTTATGATACCCTACACCACTTTGCTATTTAGTAGAGCTACACATAACAATTAAAAGCTTTTATGGGAGAATACAATCATACACGCTATGATTATAATTATAACTCAAAGTTCAAAGGACTAAATATGCCGAAGCATTTGTATCTTTAAAATTCGGAAGTGTATTGCCCATTTGGATAAAGATATATATGGGAGCTATATCCAAATCTGAACCGATCTCGATAAAATTTGGCAAAGATATTTCTGAGCTGTATTTTACATATTTCCCTGAATATCGTTGTTACGGAGTGCACATTACGGCGGCGGTGGACAAAAATAACAAATCGGATGAACAATATATATGGGAGCTATAGCTATATCTGAACCGATCCCCATCAAATTTGGCATACTAGCTTCTAGACTCAATTCGGTCGTAAGTGCCAAATTCAATCCCATTTGGACAAATATTAGACGTTTGGTGCACAATAAAAAGTAAATCGGACGAAGTTATATATGGGAGCTATATCCAAATCTGAACCGATCTCGATAAAATTTAGCAAATGTATTTCTGAGCTATATTTGATATATTTCCCCAAATATTGTTGTTGCAGAGTGCATATTACGGCGGTGGTGGACAAAAATAACAAATCGGATGAACAATATATATGGGAGCTATAGCTATATCTGAACCGATTTCGATCAAATTCGGCGTACATATTTTCAGGCCTAATTTGGGTGTATATGCAAAATTCCATACAATTCAAGCCGATATTACACGTTTGGTGCGCAATAAAAGGCAAATCGGACGAAGATATATATGGGAGCTATATCTAAATTTTGACCGATTATTTCCAATTTCAATAGGGTTCGTCCTTGGGCCAAACAAATGATCTGTGCAAAATTTCATCTGGATCGGGCAATAAATGCGACCTGTATTTTGTTTACAAAAATACATGGACAGACGGACAGACGGACGGACGGACGGACATGCATAAATCGACTCAGAATGTGATTCTATGCAGATCATCAAAAGGAACTATGGGTCTATCTCGTTTCCTTCTGCCTGTTACAAACAAATGCACAAAGACATAATACCCTGACCACCTTGTGGTGTAGGGTATAAAAAGCTGATGCTAAAGCTTTTCATAGTGATTTTTGTAGAATTTCCCCCATACCCCTTTTGGTGTTATTAAATCGGCTCCACACAATTTTGGATAAACTTATTACGCATTGGAAATAAAAACAAGAGAGTTAAATAGTTGGAGCTCTCTTTTGGAGACATAAACATATTATCCAATGACAAGTTAATACGTTTTTTACATTTTCTCCACTGGAGAGACTAAATAATATACCACTTTTCTCAATGAAAATTCTAAATAAATATTCGTACATAAATAAAAATCGAAAGGAACAAACAAAAAGTAAACAATAAAATCAATAAATTGTTTTGTGAATTTGGTGCGGCGGTCTGACTCTCCATTGATTTATTATTGGGGAGCCAAATCAAATAGAGCGGAGAAACACAACAAATGAGAAATTCAAACTGTCATATTTGCTCCAAGCAAAGAACAACACAAGCATACATACATACAAACATATTTGTATGTACGTAGGAATGTCATACAAACTGTTGAATAAGGTGATTTGCGTCTGTCTACCCCTCACTATGTGTGCGGCCCCCTCCCTTGAACAATCACTCGGCAGTGGGCTCGGCGTGTGTGCCTCTCTCTCTCTCTTTGCTTTGTAGTTGTTGTTGAGTTTTGGTGCTGGAATAGTTGTTGTTATGGTTACTTTCCATCAAGTAGACGTGTGTCTGCCTGTCATTTAATGGAAGAGGGGTGGTGGGACTATGTTTGCCGGGGTATTATGTTTGAGATTGTGTCTGATAGAAGGGGCTGTGGATGGGGGAGAAAACTTGAATAATCCACAAGATTTCTCTCCACACACAAGTCGTCGTCCGCTACGTTGCTTGCTGGTGCGTGCTATAGCCGTAGCAAGGCAGTCTAGCAAAAGAACAGTGATCATTTGCAGTTTGCTGGTTCTAGTTCGTGGTTCGGGAACGCTCAGGTTAGTAGTGCTGGCAGAGTATTTTTTTATCTTTCTCTAATTAAATTATTTTTTTCTCAATTTCTCTGTTACATAATTCATTGGCGACGTTATTGAACCGACCGATACGTGTTCTGCATAACTCTGGAACCTTTTTGATATTGGATATTTTGCGTTTGCTGGAACAGAATTTACATAGAAAAATGGCTTTACGTTTGATTTGCATTTCTCCTGCCTTCAACAGCATGGGCCAAACCTTGGTACGCGCCATGTCCACCCAGAGTGGTGCCAAGAACATCGGCTTCGTCGGTTTGGGCAACATGGGCGGTCACATGGCCACCAATTTGATGAAGAAGGGCCACAAATTGCATGTCTTCGATATCTCCAAGCCCGCCTGCGACAACTTGAAGGCCAAGGGTGCCCAAGTTTACAGCAACACCTCCGAGTTGGCCCTGAAATCTGACTTTGTCATCACCATGTTGCCCAACAACGACATTGTGGCGAAGTCTTATGAGGAAATGACCGCCAACGGTGTTAACAAGGATACCATTTTCATTGATTCCTCCACCATCGATCCCAACTTGGTCAAGCAATTGCAAAAGATGATCAGCGGCAAGGGTGCCCGTTTCATTGATGCCCCCGTCTCCGGTGGTGTACCCGGTGCTGAACAGGCCACTTTGACCTTCATGGTTGGTGGTACCAACGAAGAATACAATGCCGTCAAGTCCGTCTTGGAATGCATGGGCAAGCGTATCACCCACTGCGGTGACTACGGCATGGGTCAAGCTGCCAAATTGTGCAACAACATGATGTTGGGCATCTCCATGATTGGTGTCTCCGAAGCCATGAACTTGGCCATTCGTTTGGGCTTGAACCCCCAGACCTTTGCCGAAATCATCAACTCCTCCACTGGTCGCTGCTGGGCCTCCGAAGTCTATAACCCAGTTCCCGGTGTTACCCCCACTGCCCCCGCCAACAATGACTACAAGGGAGGTTTCTCCACTGACTTGATCACCAAGGATTTGGGTTTGGCCTCCGGTGTTGCCACCGCCTCCAACACTCCCATCCCCTTGGGCGCCATGGCTCATCAAATCTACCGTACCTTGAAGGCTCATGGTTTGGGCAACAAGGACTTCTCCGTTGTCTATGACTTCATGAAGAACACCAAGTACAATTAAGTTTAGTGATTAAATAATAGAAAAAGCAGAAGAAGAAGAAACTTGAGGACCCAGTGCTTCCATGGTAACTTCTAAGCCAGCAAAATAAGCTGGACAAAGGAAAAAAGCCATCCCAGACCAGAAGTGCATTTATAGCCATTTAAGATTAACTATTTTTTCTGAGTGTATTATAAAATAATAATAATAAAAAAATAACAAGATTTTTAATCAGTAGAATACGTATTCCCAAAAGAAGAGGTCTGATTTTATTTTCTATTTGGATTCGTGTTATCTTAATTTAGCAGGGGTCTCATGATTGATAAAAGAATAGGCGTTTCTGTGTGAAAGAGAAAATTGCATACGTAATCATCAATTTGAATTTTTTGATATGTGAAGTGGTTATTTTTCGGAACATGCTTTTGGGGCGAACTGTTCTAGTTAGAAGATATGCCGAGAGATAACAGTAGAATTATTAAACCTAATGTGTATGAAATTTATTTTTTTTTTTTAAATAGAATAGCTTTGTGATATAATCATATCGGTACATATATGTATGGATACTAATTGGGGAATTGTTTCGAGACTTAAAATTAAGAGAGTTTTTCGTATTATAATAATTATAAGTCACAGATATTGAAGTTTTTGATCCATATAATTTAAATTTAAAAGAGCGTTCTTTGCGGATTTGAAATAGTGCATTATGGTTCTGAAAAGAGATTTTTTTTAATTTTTTGGATTTGAGAACTTGATTGGAATTATTACGGTAGTTTTGTACTTTTCGAGAACAGCGGCTCAATTCTCGTTCAATACATAAAAGATTTGATTTTAAGGACAAATAGATTCTATCTTCCCCTAACTATCTCGCACCTTCATTAAACATTCACTCTACACTGGGCTCTGCGTGTGTGCCTCTCTCTCATTGCTTTTTATACCCTACACCACAAGGTGGTCAGGGTATAATGTCTTTGTGCATTTGTTTGTAACAGGCAAAAGGAAACGAGATAGACCCATAGTTCCTTTTGATGATCTGCATAGAATCACATTCTGAGTCGATTTATGCCTGTCCGTCCGTCCGTCTGTCCATGTATTTTTGTAAGCAAAGTACAGTTCGCATTTATTGCCCTATCCAGATGAAATTTTGCACAAATCATTTGTTTGGCGCAAGGACGAACCCTATTGAAATTGGAGATAATCGGTCAAAATTTAGATATAGCTCCCATATATATCTTCGTTCGATTTGCCTTTTAGTGTGCACCAAACGTGTAATATCAGTCCGAATTGTATGGAATTTAGCACGTATGATCAGATTGGACCTGAAAATAAGTATGCCAAATTTGATCGAAATCGGTTCAGATATAGCTATAGCTCCTATATATATTATTCATCCGATTTGTTATTTTTGTCCTCCGCAGACGTAATATGCACTCCGTAACAACGATATTCAGGAAAATATATCAAATAAAGCTCAGAAATATCTTTGCCAAATTTTATCGAGATCGGTTTCGATTTGGATATAGCTCCCATATATAACTTCGTCCGATTTACCATTTATTGTGCACCAAACGTCTAATATTTGTCCAAATGGGATGGAATTTGGCACATACGACCGAATTTAGTCTAGAAGGTAGTATGCCAAATTTGGTGAAGATCGGTTCAGATATAATTATAGCTCCCATATATATTGTTAATCCGATTTATTGTATTTGTTACCCACAGCCGTAATATGCACTCCGTAACAACGATATTCAGGGAAATATATCAAATACAGCTCAGAAATATCTCTGCCAAATTTTGTCGAGATCGGTTCAGATTTGGATATAGTTCCCATATATATATTTTTATCCGATTTCAAATTAATTTCGCACCAAATGGGCAATACAAGTCCGAATTTAAAAGATACAAATGCTTCGGCATATTTAGTCCTTTGAATTTTAAATTATAATTATAATCATAGCGTGTATGATTGAATTCTCCCATAAAAACTTTTAATTATTAAGTGGAGCTCAACTAAATTAGCAAAGTGGTGTAGGGTATCATAAAATCGGCCCCGCCCGACTTTAGGACTTTCTTTACTGGTTTTTAGTTGTTGTTGAGTTCTGCTGCTGGAATAGTAGTCATGGTTAAAGGTTCAAAGAAAAAATTGCGCCTCCGCTAAAAGTAAATATTGAAAATACTGTCAGATATGTATCCTGTCCCAGATTCCTAAAGTATCAATGTAAAGAAGAACCCGTTGTGTTATTTCAATTTTAAATAAACGATTTACTTATTCATATTTTTGTTAGATTTTCCTCAAAAATAACCAATTGATTTACATAAATTTCACCCCGGGATCCATTTGCCACAAATGTGACATCACAGATGCCACCCGCATCCACAAAATAGAGGCTCAACTACGCAGACCTTAACCGTGAAATTCTATTTAATTTAACTTGAGTGTTTTCTCCACTCAATTTTACTACAAAGTTTTCCACTATGTCACAACATGTTTCGGGCCCCTCCCGCACCCAAGTTTGTCCACTCTTCTCTTATCATAGTATATAAACACACAGCATAGAACATAACATTCCCTTCTAATTATGCTCAACTTTTTATGCGTATGCCATCAAAGCATAACCCACACATGCCATTTGGATAGATGGCTAGTATTGGATACATGTTGAGATAGTCAAAAGCTTTCAAATTTTCATTTGTTATTTTCTTTATAGTTTGAGGTATGTTGCTTTGTATACACAATCACAATACAGGGTGCCTCAAAAAAAAAAAAAAAATACGATTCAAATGTATATAATGAAATATATTTGGTGTTTTCACAACTTTTCTTTACGATTGGTAAAATTTTTTTTATAGAAGATGTCTTTTTTCTCTCGGGTCTACTTTAGGATAGCAAAATTATAGAGTGGCTGTTGCTGAAAAAAATATTTACTTGATTTTTTATTTCAATATAATTTAATATAGGCCGGTTATTACATCTTTCCTTTAGATAAACAAGTAAAAAAGCTGTAAGTTTGGCCGGGCCGAATTTTGAATACCCTCCACCATTTGGTACAAATTTGGCAATTTTCGGCCGGGCCGAACTTTGAATACCCTCCACCATTTGGTACAAATTTGGCAATTTTCAAAAAAATAAATTCCGTTAAAAATGCTGTTAAAATCTTAAAAATACCGAATGTAGCCGTATATTAGGATCTGTACGACGACGTGGACCTGCATAGGCAACTTTTGTCACAAGCTATTACAATATTCAAATGCGAAACTTGAAAAAATCTGTTTATAATGTAGCTAAAATCATCAAAATTCCGAATATAGGGGGGAACCATGGGAGTTGTAAAACGTGGAGTTGCACAGAGAATTTTTTGTCATAGGCTGTAGTATCCATTACGAACTTCAAATGCGAAATTTAAAACAATTCCGGTAAATAACCGTTATATAGGGGCTATATATAGGGTTATATAGGGGCTATATAATAACTTGGACCTACATAGCCCTGCCTACTGGCAAAATATACATGTGTGCAAAATTTTAGCCTTCTATCTCAATTTGTTCGAAAGATAGCGTGATTACAACAGATAGACAGACGGACAGACAAACAGACAGACGGACATCGCTAAATCGGTTTAGAATTTTACGCTGATCAAGAATACATATACTTTGTTGGGTCTGACATGAGTATTTCGAGGAGTTACAAACGGAATGACAAAATTAATATACCCTCCATAGTATGGTGGAGGGTATAACAAGTAAGCAAAGGCCACGGTCATGAGGGGCCGACCATATGACACTCTACAACACGCAAACCCATTTTCGTCGATTTTTTGAAATAATGCCATATATAGTTACGCTCTCCGCCGTGCTGGTAGGCAATCAAAAAAAAAAAAAAAATAAATAAATAAATAAATAAATAATAATAATATATATTAATAAATTAAAACAAGTAAAAAAGCAGTAAGTTCGGCCGGGCCGAACTTTGAATACCCTCAACCTTTTGGAACGAATTAGAAAATTTTCAAAAAAAATAAAATCCATTAAAAATCTTTTAAAATCTTTAAAATATCTAATATAGAAAGGTGCCGATACGATATTGTGGACCTATAAAGACAATCTGCGTGTAAAGTACTCACAAGGAACTCCTTGTGTGGATTTTCAAAATACCGAATATCGCGGGGTATCGTTATATGGGAGCTATACGATATCGTGGACCTGTATAGACAATTCTCTCTCAGGGGGTGAAGTACTCACAAGGAACTACTTGTGTGGATTTTCAGACAATTCCGTTGAAAAATGTGGGTAAAATCATCAAAATACCGAAAATCGGGGGGTACCGTTATATGGGGGATATACGATATCGTGGACCTGTATAGACAATTCTGTCTCAGGGGGTAAAGTACTCACAAGGAACTACTTGTGTGGATTTTAAGACAATTCCATTGAAAAATGTGGCTAACATCATCAAAGTACCGAATATCGGGGGGTACAGTTATATGGGGGATATACGATATCGTGGACCTATATAGACAATTCTTTTTGAGGGGGTAAAATGCGCACAAGGGACTCCTTTTGTGGAATTTCAGACAATTCCATTGAAAAATGTGGATAAAATCATCAAAATACCAAATATCGGGTGTACCGTTATATGGGGGCTACACGATATCGTGGACCTATATAGATAATTCTCTGCGGAGGTAGAAAGTACCCACAAGGAACTCCTTGTGTGGATTTTAAGATAATTCCATTGAAAAATGTGGCTAACATCATCAAAATGCCGAATATCGGGGGTACCGTTATATGGGGGCTATACGATATCGTGGACCGATATAGCCCACCTTCGAACTTGACCTGCCTGCAGACAAAAGAGAGATCTGTGCAAAATTTTAGCTTTCTATCTTAATTCGTTTAGACTGTAGTGTGATTACAACAGATGGACGGTCTTAGAATTTTACGCTGATCAAGAATATATATACTTTATTGGGTCTTAAATGATTATTTCGATGAGTTACAAACGGAATGACGAACTTAATATACCCTCCATACCCTTTTTGGTGGAGGGTATATAAAATCGCGCAAAATTTGTGATTCATGTTAGCCGCTTATACCATCCGTTGGCCATCCAAAACACATCTGTCTAAACTCTCACCTCGTGCGATATTTCGAGTCAATTATTTTTTTTTTTTGACGTGTGGAGCTGCCTATCCTATATCGATTTCGGAGATACAGATATAAATAGACTATATCGATCCACTCCTTGTGGTACCTCCCTCACCAAAGTTCAATATTTTTACTAAAAATGCTTTACCCTGTAGAACAAGAAACGATAATTCGATTTTGTGCAAACTTAACAAATTCATATATTTTTCTCAGTGCTAGGTCAGGTGCGAAAATTGACAATATCAGCCCATCTTAACCACAAAGGTTTAACATTTTGAATAATTATAACACTTATGCAATCATAAAATTCCGATTCTTTTCAAATCTTACACAACCAACATTCCCTCCTCCTTCTGGTACTTTCCCCAGAAAGGTTCAAATTTTTGAATAATTATAACTTTTATAAAATTTTATTTTTATAAAATTTTAGGTCACCAACGGGTCAAATTAAAACAAAAAAACATGAAGTTTATGAAACGCTCTATGTGCATCCGATTGCTTTCAAACTCGGCACATCCCAATGTTTCTACCAACACAAGACCAGGTGGGAAGACGGAATATATCGGTCTACTCCTTGTGGTACCTCCTCTACAACGCATCAAAATTTTAAATCTTTATATCTCGAAATAAGCAATCAATTCAAACATCTCTTCAAGATGGAATATATCGGTCCAATCCTTCAGGTATGTCTTCCACAAAAAGGAACAATTTTCGATAACTATATTTATAATAACTTGTGAAACAATTCAGAGATTCTTCAAGTTTATATACTTATTTATCTCAATCAGATATCTGATGTGAACTTTTTCTGGTTCCGTATTCACAAACGTCTAAAATTTTGATTAACAACTACTCGCATAAAATTGGAAAGAAATGTTAGATTTTCATTAAAATTTTTACCCAATAATACATTGGTCCATTTTATGTGGAACATCACGCACGCTATACGAAGACGTGGACCGGCACAGACAATTTTTATACCCTCCACCATAGTATGGAGGGTATATTAAGTTTACCATTCCGTTTGTAACACATCGAAATATACATTTTACACCCCACAAGGTATATATAATCTTGATCAGCATAAAACTCTACGTCGATTAAGCGATGTCCGTCCATCTGTCCGTTTGTGGAAATCACTCTAGCTCTCTAGATTGATAATATTTTACCCAAATGTACAGGGTTGCCCATAGGGACGCCATAACTTTTGACAGAGATGTCACATCGCTTAATGACATACCGCGTTTGAAGCATCAGTCCAAGCAGATTTTTACCATGAACCAATACACGCCACGCGAGCGCTCTGAAATAGTTGAAATTTACATTCAACAGAACAAGTCAATTGTGAAAAAAAATGTGAGAAGTGCGCCTTCTAAGAACACCATTAAGCGTTTACACGAAAAATTTTCGACTGGTAAGGCTCTTTCTAATCCGAACAGTCCATATAAATGTCGACCAAGGCGATCGGCCGAGAATATCGTTGCCGTACGAGCCAGTGTTGAGAGGTTCCCAAGAACATCCCAAAAACGCCGTTCTCAGCAGTTGGGCATGGCTCGGTCCACTTTACAACGGATTATTCGCACTGAGTTGCATTTGTTCCCGTACAAAATTCAATTGACGTAAATAATGTTGCCTGCGGACAAGCCTCGTCGATTGGAATGGGCCCAAAGGTCCGTCGAATATTGGCAACCATGTATATTATGTCTGAGGGACTTAGGGTATTGAAAATGGGCCATGAAGGTCCATGTTTTGGTATAGGCCCCATATAATGGTACCTTCCTTTTTTCGATAACTCTTTTATCCCAACATCTCTTTTAGTTATGCGAAATGCATAATTGATCCCCTCAAGGCTCCCCGGAAAACAGATATACAGAAACACAAACATTATTAATTTTCAATAGAATTATTTTTTTTATTTTTTTGTTTAATATCTTTTTTGTTTTCTTATATATTTCAAAGTTTAGGAAGAATTGCAGATAATTGAACAATTTACAATTATTGAATTATAAAGTTAAGTATGTAAGAGTTGAATGGAGTTTGTTGTATTTTGTGGTATGTATGTCAAGATTAAATTCGAAAAAAAAAAAATAATTTTGGATTTTGAAATTTTGTATTTCAATATTTTTAAATTTGTTTGATAAGGTACATTTTTGTGGTGTGAGCTATGAATGAGATTTAATTTGTGTAAGAATTTTAATTAGTTATGCAAAATGTTCTTTTATTTTTAAGTTTTATGGCAAAATGCAAATTAACTAACTATAATTATGTATGTACGTGTGTATGTGTGTATCTTATTAGCAATTAAAGTAAATCTTTCAGCATATTATCTGTATTTATTTATCTGTATAAGGAGTGCTTCAAAGCTTTGGATTTTTATAGTTTAACCTTTAACCGAAACTGTTGTATAAATATTGCATAGATATTTTATGTTTTTTTATTTTAGGTAATTAATAATTAATACTTGATTTATTATTAGAAAAAACAATACAGTAAACGTATATTATATATAGGATATAGTTTAAATATTATCAAAATTATAACAATAATAATAACATACAGTAATTCTTGGAAAATATCACAAAATGATTTTTTTTAGTTTTTATTCTTATTTTCTGGTTATTAAATATTTCATTTATAGGAGAATTCGGTAATAGAAAAAATAATTGTTTAAATATATATTTTTATGTTTATCTTTTAAAGTGCTAAAGGAGGGATGATTTGTTTATTTGATTAGTGGCGTATTTTTTTTTAATTTTAGTTATTTTGTGATTAAGGGCAAATAAGAGATTAATATTTTTTAGAAAAATATTAGACCTTTATTTGCTATGGTAGTGCGACGGAAGTGTTACAAGTTGTAAGGATTATAGAGGAAGAAAAGACTTTGATTTGCTTTATTTATAAAAATTTGTTGTAAATCCCCAAGAATTTCAGAAGAGTAAATTGCATGAGTCTTTGGGTTCTAGAAAAAAATGTTTGAAAATTAAAACCAGTAAAGAAAGTCTTAAAGTCGGGCGCGGCCGACTTTATGATACCCTACACCACTTTGCTAATTTAGTAGATCTGCGCATAACAATTAAAAGTTTTTATGGGAGAATTCAATCATACACTCTATGATTATAATTATAATTAAAAGTTCAAAGGACTAAATATGCCGAAGCATTTGTATCTTTTAAATTCGGACTTGTATTGCCCATTTGGTGCACAAATAATTTGAATTCGGATAAAAATATATATGGGAGCTATATCCAAATCTGAACCGATCTCGATAATATTTAGCATTTCATATATTTCCCTGAATATCGATGTTACGGAGTGCATATTACGGCTGTGAGTAACGAATATGACAAATCGGATGAACAGTATATATGGGAGCTATAGCTATATCTGAACCAATCTTCATCAAATTTGACATACTAGCTTCTAAACTCAATTCGGTCGTAAGTGCCAAATTTCATCCAATTTGGGCAAATATAAGACGTTTGGTGCACAATAAAAGGTAAATCGGACGAAGATATATATGGGAGCTATATCCAAATCTGAACTGATCTCGATAATATTTTGCAAATGTATTTCTGATCTGTATTTCAAATATTTCCCCAAATTTTGTTGATACAGAGTGCATATTACGGCTGCGGAGGACAAAAATAACAAATCGGATGAACGATATATATGGGAGCTATAGCCATATCTGAACCGATTTCGATCAAATTTGGCACACTTATTTTCAGGTCCAATCTGATCGTACGTGCAAAATTCCATACTATTCGGACTGATATTACACGTTTGGATATATATGGGAGCTATATCTAAATTTTGACCGATTATCTCCAATTTCAATAGAGTTCGTCCTTGGGCCAAACAAATGATTTGTGCAAAGTTTCATCTGGATAGGGCAATAAATGCGAACTGTACTTTATTTACAGAAATACATGGACAGATGGACAGCCGGCGGACGGACGAGCGGACGGACATACATAAATCGACTCAGAATGTGATTCTATGCAGATCATCAAAAGGAACTATGTGTCTATCTCGTTTCCTTTTGCCTGTTACAAACAAATGCACAAAGACTGAGGGTATTATGTCTTTGTGCACCTTGTGGTGTAGGGTATAAAAAAAAAAACAAAGTAAGCATAGGCTATAGCCGTGCGGGGCCGACCATGTGATAATGTACAACACTACAATATGTTCGAAGTCCCCTTATATCCAAATCCGTTTTGAAAGATTTCGTTTTTGAAAAAATGTGAAAGAGCCCTGGGCAGAGTTTACCCTTAGGTTTTTGACCCGGAGAATTTGACCAATATTTACGCACTCCGTCGTGCTGTTAGTTATTGTGGTCCATTTTGCAGCTAAATTTAATCCAATTGTCATCCAAAGTGCTAGAATACTTCCCTGTCCTTAACTCTCTTCTGATGCGAAATTCCATGTCGATTAGTTTTCAATAGTGGCCAGCCATTCTTGAGATATAAGCACTCTGGCTAACATCCCCTTCCTTCTTCTACACATTGTATATATTTCACTATATATCCAAAAAATTTACTATTGGCATCTACGTAACGTCTATTTGTGTTTTCGTGGCGATTAAAAATATTCGCAGTTTAATGGAAACTTTGACTTTTCTTTCACACAAATGTTATGCTTTTTTGACCCTCTCAATATTACCCACTGACCATCAAAATTGGAAGGCTTCTACCCAGCTCTAGCCTTATGCTAACTTCTGCTTCGATTGGTCTATAATTGCGACCTGTAGAACAACTGCAAAATCAGGGCATTTTTCAGTTTTTGGACCTTTTCAACCCTTAAATATTATGCGATCATCTCCAAAAGCAATAGGCTTCTAATCTGGCCGTAGACCCACCTCCATTCTAAATTTCGTGAAGATCGGGCCATAATTGCGACCATTGCGAGATAGAAAGAACCGCAATGGTAATTCAGTTGTAACGGCATCATGACCAGTGACTCAAAAAGTGTTTTTTCTTTGGTAAAATCGAAGTGAAACGAAAGAGACAATAAAGAAAGAACAGATATCAAATAATGATTTATTCTTAACGATATGGAATTATTCAAACAAGTTTTCATTTAAAAGTAAGACGTTTTTTATCGGTTATTTTCAAGTTTTATTTATCATTCGATTTTTAGTGAGAGCCACAAACGTGGGGCATCAGGGTCAAAAATGTGGGCTGTTTTTAAGGTTTTCAAGAACTAAACTTTTTTTTCAGGAACTAAACGTGGATCTATTAATTAATGTTAAATTGTTGAAGCATTTAAAAGGTTAAATATTCAAATGGCTCTTAAATAGTTCCAAGATATAAATTTTATTCATGCTCTGATTCATTTTTTACAATAACATAAAAGATGGTCAGTATATGTGAGTAAATCTTTGGTTTAAGAGCCAATGTTAGGGAAAGATGGACAATGCAACCTTCTACTTTATCAAAAATCTAATCTTATTTGGCTCAGTAACTTTGTCGTCCTTCTTAGCTCATTGATCATTATTTGAATTTGCTGTGTGAGAAAATAAGATATTTGATAATTTTTAAATATCCAAGAAAAAATGTATATTTTTCCGTCAGGTAACGCAAAAAAATGTCATTCAGAGTTTATCGATAATGCACTCTCTCTTGAATCTGACAGACTTCGTCTGTGATTCATGTATTGTGTGATCCGACTTAATTTGTTCTCTACCACTTCTTGACTTTCTCTTGAGCTTATCTTTGTCACTTTTAACATAGGATCTTCTGTCGTTTTAAAATCATTTCCTCTTTCTCTGAGCTGAAATATAGTGGGATTCAGAAAAGTTCGTCAAAAAACTAAAGAACTCAGAAGGAACCACTTGTGTGGATTTTAAGACAATTCCATTGAAAAATGTGGCTGTAATCATTAAAATATGGAATATCGGGGGGTACCGTTATATGGGGGCCATACGATATCGTGGACCTAAATAGACTATTATCTTGACGTAGCACTGTTGAAAAAATTGGATTCTCCTCTCTCTTTCTATGCAGTAAAATATATATTTTTTTGAAAACTTCGTCCTTTTGTACGGGAGGTATCAGAAGGTGTGCACCGATATTGCTTATCTCCGAATTCGATATAAGTTTGATATTAATATTACAATGTACCAAGTTTGTGCCAAATCGGATACTCTTTTCGGTAGTTATTATACCGGAAGGACATTGCTAGATCGAATCCAAATATATTAAAATGGATTTGATCCAAAAGACCTAGGGTTTAAAAGCGGTATTTCGATGATACATGTTTTGGCCGTATGAAATTATAAATACGTTCTCTTGCCATATGCCTCTAAATAAAATATCGGGGGGTACAGTCAATGTAGACCTGTACAGAAGATTATCTGGTAGAGAAGGAGGTACCTCCATATACCAATATTGAAACAATTTTGTGGAAAATGTGGCTAAAATCGGCAAAATACCAAATATCGAAAGATATCCGAATATGGGGGTTATAGGAAAATGTGGGCCGGTATAGGTGGTTTTCTGTCACAGGAATCCATTACGAATTTTATAATTCAAACATTTGCGTTGAAAATGTGGCATACATCCTCAAAATACCCAATATCTTTAGGTACAGTTGTATGTGGGCTATATAAAAATCTGGACCCATGTAGATAATTTTCTGTCAGAGCAACTATTGGCAACACCAAATACCAACTTTGAAATAATTCCGTTGTAGCTGAAATCATTAAAATATCTATACCTAAACGTGGGCGTAGTACACATTAGATACCATATTAAAAAAAAAAACAAAACATTCCGGTGAAAGTGTGACAAAAATCATCAAAAAGCCGAAAATGGGGACGGTAATTTATATTATGGGTCGATACCAAAACTTGGACTGCAAGGATCTTTCTAACCAACGGCGAAAACAATGTATACAATTGTTACTCAAACTTTCAACACGGTATAGTTATATGGGGGCTAAGACAAAATATGGACCTATATGGCCCATTTTTAATAATTATTTTAATTCTGTGGAACTAAATAGAATTTCAGTAAGAGCTTGACATCCTACTTTACTCCTTTCAGAACTTAGAGTACTTTCCACAGACCTCTGTCTGACGGACGGAGAAACTGACATATGGCTAAATCGATTTAGAATCTAAAAATGATCAAGAATATATATTCCTTGTGCCGTCAGAAACTCTTTTTTCGAGGAGTTACAAAAGGAATGACAACATTACTATACCATCCATAGAATGGTGAATGGTCTCTCTTTCTCTTCTCTCTTGATCTCCTCACACATCAGCTATAAGATCGTCCACTAATGGAAAATATTCCAAAATTTTCACTTCTAGTCGCCAATGGGTGGTTGTTCAAAAGAATCCAACTGGTTTCCTGTAAAAATGTTGATTTTTTAAAAATCTTTCTTTAACTGTGATTACATGTATATATTCATTTCGGCCCTCCAAACCTTCCTCTTCAAAGTGCGTTTTTGTAGGAAAGCCTATTCGGAGTTAGTCGATAAGGATTTCTATGTCAAATTTTTTTTTATCAGTTTTTTAAGTTTTTCTATAAAGAATTCCACCTTCAGATCTCTATTATAAACAAACTCATCATCGAAGCACGCCTTAAGCTGATCTGAGTCTTCCAGGGCTGATCCCTAAAAATCCTCTCTTTAGAGCTCGCTCTCTTAGAAGCCCTCTTCAGAGGGCTGTTTAGACATCCTTTCTACGTTACGTCTCTAATTGATTCAGGTTCAGGCCTTTTCAGGTTTTGTCTGTTGGGATAGAATTTCTATTCTGACTTCAACAGCAATAGGAGCCTTTTAAGCCTTTTTAGCTCATTTATAATATACACCTTTTTGTGGTTGTCACAAATAGACTCCCTCCTCATATCGACTTGTTAGAGTCGATCGTTTTGTATGAAAATCCTTTTGAGTCTTCTTAATATTCTCTTTTTGGTCTTTTTTAAATATTTAAATATAAAATCCCACCTTGACTCGCCTATAATATATTTAAAATCCTTTTTCGGGGCTCTTCTATAATATAATCCCTAGTTGGAGCCTTTACTCAATAAACAACCCCAAATTTTAAAGTTAACTACAGGAGCCTCCCCAATCCTTTATAATCAAATATATTGTACTCTTTAATGGATTTCTTCTAGAGCTCGTCGGAGAAGATAAATAATACACATTCTAGAATATTTTATCTTATCTTCCACCCTTACAACTTGCAACATGTTCCAAGTGGATAGACAATAGATTGATTCCATCTAAATTTAGTTTTTTTTGTTGTTTTGGTTTTTTCTTCTCAGTGTAAATATGTTGTATGTATACTAAATTAGTATTTTTAAATATATAAAAAATGAGGTGTATGTACATAATCGTTTGTTGTTGTTGTAACAGTGCATTTGAGTTGTATGTGATGTTTGTTTTGCTGAGACAAAATGGAATATAATTTTGTATTTCTAAATTTTAAATGGAAAAAATGGTTGCGTTCCTTGGGTATTTAATGCTGTCACTTTTGATTCACGTTTTGTTTTTGGTTCGGATTTTGATGCTCTAGTCGTATTTATCATTTGATTTTTTATGTATCTTCTTAAATGCTGCCATTCGTAAACTATCCGTACTGGCTTTGAACATGTGCGATACATTACGCATGGAACGTGTCGAGAGGTTGACAACATGTTGTGGCATAGCTGCGGCTGCATGTACCGCGGCGATGGTAGACGAGGCTACGGGTTTGCTGGAATAATCACTGGTACTGAGGAAGTCACGTATGTTATCAGCGTCCTCGATGCTGGCCCGAGACTATGATGCTTTGATTTTCTTCTTGGGATTGCCACGCTGAGCATCGCTGACAGCGGTGGGCGGTAATTCTCGAAATTGATTCTGAAAACATAAACATCATTTATTTTCAGAAAATCGGTAAAGAATTCCAATGACTTACAAGTTCTTCATCATCTGGCACCCGTGAGAGAAAGTCCAACAGCTCATTATTGGGTATGGTGTTCGGTCGCAATATTCTTCGGCTAAATTTCATTATGCCCCAGAAGAGTAACAGGAAACGTATAGGTACAAAGTGTAAGACAATTATGGCACCAATTAGTAGAACCACTGCCAACCAGGTTAGTTCGGGGACGGAAAAATTAAAGGTACTAGAACAAAGGAAGGAAAAAAGAGGTAAATAAAATTTCCTATCCAGATGAAATTTTGCAGAAATCATTTGTTTGGCCCAAGGACGAACCCTATTGAAATTGGAGATAGTCGGTCAAAATTTAGATATAGCTCCCATATATATCTTCGTCCGACTTGCATTTTAATGTGCACCAAACGTGTAATATAGGTCCGAATAGTATGGAATTTTGCACGTACGATCTGATTGGACCTGAAAATAAGTATGCCAAATTTGATCGAAATCGGTTTAGATATAGCTATAGCTCCCATATATATCTTCGTCCGATTTGTTATTTTTGTCCTCCGCAGCCGTAATATGCACTCTGTAACAACAATATTTGGGGAAATATATCAAATACAGCTCAGAAATACAGTTGCTAAATTTTATCAAAATCGGTTCAGGTTTGGATATGGCTCCCACATATAACTTCGTCCGATTTACCTTTGATTGTATACCAAACATCTAATATTTGCCCAAATTGGATGAAATTTGGCACTTGCGACCGAGTGTAGAAGCTAGTATATCAAATTTGGTGAAGATCGGTTCAGATATAGCTATAGCTCCCATATATATTTATCCGATTTGTTCTATTTGTTACCCACAGCCGTAATATGCACTCTGTAATAACAATATTTGTGGAAATATATCAAATACAGCTCAGAAATATCTTTGCCAAATGTGATCGAGATCGATTCCGAGTTGGATATAGCTTCCATATATATTTTCATCCGATCTCAAATTAATTGTGCCAAATGGGCAATACAAGTCCGAATTTAAAAGATAGATGTTTCGGCATATTTAGTCCTTTGATCTTTAAATTATAATTATAATCATTGCGTGTATGATTGAATTCTCCGATAAAAAACTTTTAATTGTTATGCGGAGCTCTACTAAATTAGCAAAGTGGTGTAGGGTATCATAAAGTCGGCCCCGCCCGACTTTAAGACTTTCTTTGCTGGTTTTAATGAGCTTTGTTGAAGAAAAAATTCCACCTACTTCTTGGTACTCTCTCCCAGCGACGCCAAATAGCCTATGGTGTTCTGTACAGTTTGTGAGACTTCCTGTATGGCCTGCAAACGTTCCTTTATGGATTTCTTTTCCTCCTTCTCCTTGTCGTCATCATCATCCTCATCGTAGTCATAATCATAACTACCGCTTGTTGAATCCGATTGTCCCGTAATTAAACGGACCAGCCAATTTCTGTAACAAATATTGAGATTTTATTTATTTTTAATTTTGAGTTCAATCTTACTTGAGTATTATTAGAAGAATAACCAGCGGCACCGTCTCCAAATTTCCATAAATGCAGGCTACAATCCACAAAGTAAATGCTATAACTGATCTAAGGGGACTTTCCCATTCAAAGCAGCTCCTGGAATTAATTTTGAAAAAAAATGTAAAAATTGAAAGTTATAAGGAAATTAAAGCAATTAATTATACCGAAAAAAATATTGAAAGAAAGAGTCTTGTATAGAAGATTTGAGGAAGGAGTTTGGAGAGCGAGCAGTAGATTTAGTAAAGAAAGGGTCACTCATAGACTGAAGAACCGATTTTTATAGACGAAAAGAAGTCTACTTAAAACGAGAAAGATTCTAACCAATTTATCATGGGATCAAAAGGACAATCTCAATAAAAATACTGGATTAAAAAAGCCTGAAGAAGGAATCCGTATAGGAAATCAGGTGAGACAAAATGTGGGGGAGTCTGAAAAATAAACCTTTCATTTAAAAGTTGTCCCAATGAAGACTCATTTAAAGAACAAATACTTTATAGAAGAACCTTTCTATGAGCAGAATGTATGTGTGTACAGGGTGAGATGAAAAAACTGCAACCAACTTCAGACTGGTGTCATTTCGAAGCCACTCGTCCGAGAGCTGTTAAAATTATTCCAGTGACAGCTCATTATATTGTTTACAGCGTACAAAAGCAGCATTTTCGAAAAAAAAGCTATTCGTGATGGAATTTAAGCGTGAAAGTGTAATTTCTTTATATTTGGCTGGGAAACCACAAGTGGCTATCGTTAGATCACTCCAGTAATCGACCGTGGCATCAAAATAAATGCTGAATATTATCGCGAAAATGAGGTTCCACGCTTCATTTCCAGTGACAGACGAACTTAAAAAGCTCATTTTAAAAGCTTTTAAAATACATCTGCTAATATAAATATAAATAAATAATAAAAAGCTCTTCTATAGATGGCAGACCCTTGAACCTTTTCTTTATACCCACAGCCATATGCCTACAGAGGGTATATATTATTTGATAAGACCAAAACGTGCCTCATCGAAATAACGGTTTTAGATATTTTACTGCACAAAAAGAGAAAGGATAATCCGATTTTGCTCAAACTATCCAAATTCTAATATTTGCATCAGTGCAAGGTCAGTTACAGAAATGGACAATATCGGTCCACTCCATCAAGTACCTCCCCTACAAAGCGTCAAAATTTTGAATAATTACAACTCTTATAAAATGTGATATAAGAGACCGATTGTCTTCAGATTTCACATCCCAATAATTATTTTTACCCTAGGTCTGGTGTAAAGATGGAATATATGATCGAAATTTTCAAAAAATATATTTTCTGCACAGAAAGGGAAGCAATAATCCGATTTTGCTCTAACTTTTCCAATCCTAATATTTGCATCAGTTCTAGGTCAGGTGCAAAAATTGATAATATCGGTCCACTCCATCAAGTAACTCCCCCACAAAGGGTCAAGATTTTGAATAATTTTAACTCTTATAAAATGTAATGTCTTCAAGTTTCACACATCCTAATATTTTTATGAACTCAAGATCTGGTATTGATACCGAATTTATCGGACCACTCCTTCTGGTACCTCCTTCTGGATGTGTTTGATTTATCCATTAAACTCAACGAAATTAACATCCGATTCCATTTAGACTTGGCACATCTGAGTATTTCTATCATTTCTGTTAAAAAGAAGGTAGAGATCGGACCATTCCTTCTGGTACCTCCCCCACAAGGGTCAAAGTTTTGAATAAGCAAAACGTTTATAAAATCCGAAATAAGCATCAGGTTCTCTTAGTACTTTACACATATAAACATTTTTGCTAACACAAGATCTGTTCTGAAGATGAGATATATCGGTCCTCTCCTTCTGGTACCTTCCCCACAAAGCCTCAACATTTTGAATATCCATGAAGCTCATAAAAAGCGAAATCAACATTCGATTCCAATCCAGACTTGAAAATATCAATATTTCCATCAACACAAGATCTGTTAGGAAAGATGGTACAGATCGGACAATTTCTTTTGCTACTTGTCCACATAGGGTTCCACATAGGATTTTAAAAAACAAAACGCTCAAAGAAGCCGAAATACGCACTCTCTTCAAATTTCACACACACAAACATTTTTGCTAACACAAGATCTGTTCTAAAGACGGTATATATTTGCGAACCCCTTCTGGTACCTCACCCACAATGGGTCACAATTTTCAATACTTTTATCTGTCATAAATTGCGAAACAACTCAGCGATTTTTTACTACTTGCTATATCTAAATATATGTATGGAATTTATGATTTCCAATAAAATTTAATATAATTGTTCGATTTTCTTGTAATTGTGCCCACACCAATATGTTTATCGGTATTAGGTGAAGTATGGAAATGGAATACTCGGGTGGACTATACCTGGGAAAAATTATCACATATCTCATATAAAGTGAAGGAAATAACAAATTTAGTCCAAACCTGGCACGACGCATTATTTATATCATATTTATTTGGGTCGGATACGAAATGGACAATATTGGCCCATTCTTTCCTTAGAGGGTCAAGATTTTGAAGAATCATAACAGAAGTCAAAATATTTTTAAACAATTGAACATTGGCTGAGAGTATACATCTGCCAGCAAAACCGACTGATACTTTTTTGCTTGTTATGTATGGAAAACCGTTAATATGCTTCTGTGGATGGGAGATATTTTATACTTATATCAACGAAGGCTCGTTTAAAGTTCTTTTGTAGATAGATATTTTATATGAACTTCAAAGCTCGTCTACGGTAAGGTTATGCCATATAAATAAAACCTGCTATGAAGAAAGGAGACTTTTCTGTGATAGGAAAAGTTTATATATCTCTTCTATACATTGCGAGACTTGGCAAGCTAGCTGTAGATATAATTACTTTTAATTCGACATAGGAAAAACTTAGTCGGGGGTTGATTGAAGAAGAGGGCTTTGTAATAAATACGATACGATATGTCTACTTACTGTACATAGCGTGCAGCATCGAGTATATTCATAATTATCACTTTCAGTCTATTAACATTTCGTAAAAATAATTGTCTTTTAAACTTGGCCTCCTGTTGGATTAATTTCTCCTCTTTCGGTTGCAGGACACGGCAGACTGCTCTCACTTCATTCCATACCACGTGCATCTCTAGGAGAATCTATAAATTCGATTTATTTAATTTTCATATTTTTGAAAGCAGATTGTATTTGAAATACCTGTGGCGATAGACCTTTGGCCCGCGAACAGAGATTTTTGTCTTTCAGAGTATACCAACGCTTGACACCATTTTTAATGCGCAGCAAGGGTATTACCAATTTCCCCAGGAACTCCACACGATGGTCGCGATCTTCATCGTAAACTGTGATTTCCAGAACTTGGGTTATGTCTTTTACATTGCTACGAAAAATAGAAAAAAAAGATGACGAATGAAATGTAAAGCTATAGCGAGATTTGTAGACTTAAATCAAAGCCATGCGGAATTTATACCCTTGAGGCTATTACTTTCTCAAATGTAAATCTAATTTCCCATAAATAGTTCCAATTATCTTAATATGTTAAATAGGAAAAAAACCATTAACTTACAATGTAAAAATCTTATTCCACGTTGGCGTTAAAGTCTTATATTCCGTTTGCGTCTGCAAGCGGGCATTTCCCAATTCCAGCACACAAAATGGATCCGATTTACCACCAATATCGGCTGCGGCCAGACCCTGAGCCCCGAACACCTTCACCGTTAAGTGGCCGACGTCGCGTAGATTTTGAAAGCAACGATGCCAACGATAACGTTCGGTCATTGCTTTCAACTCGTGTGGATCCTCCTTGAACGCCTTCAAATCGCTGATTGTTTCGAGAGCCGTTGTTCCGCTTATGGTCAACATGAGGAATACCTCACCGGGACAGTCTTCAAATTGTTTCCAAATGCCATGGGTATTTTCTCGCTCGAATACACTTAAATCTATGGAAGCTTTGCCGAATAGGGTATTACGATTCCATAATGATATTTCCAGCTGCTGTTCCTCTTCGAACAGATGCAGGTCGAATTGTTCCAGCCATCGTTCCGTCCATGATGATTTACTTTTGTATTTTTCGTTTCCAAGTCTGAAGAAAATTACATCAAAATAAAAAGGATAAAATTAAATTTGTTAGGAATAAAAATAAGTTATTCCTGTAAGATGGCAGATCCAAAATCATATACAGGGTGAGATGAAAAAACTGCAATCAACTTCAGACTGCTGCCACTCGTCAGATGTTAAAATTATTCTAGTGACAGCTCATTGTATTGTTTATAAGCGTCAAAAAGCATTTTGGTGAGACTTTTCCAGAAAAAAGTTATTCGAAATGGAATTCAAGCGTGATAGTGTAATTTCTTTATATTTGGCTGGAAAACCACAAGTGGCAATCGTTAGAGCACTCCAGCATTTAAATGTGAATGAATCTTTTGTGTCTCGTACCATTGCTGGAACTGGACGAAAAAAAACAGCAAAATGAGCAGAAATGGTTCGAAACATAAATGAACGACCTGATTGAAACCCGCGTCGCAGTGGCCGAAAAATGGCTCGTAAGCTGAACATATCGCAATATTCCATTCGGCAAATATTGAAAAATGAGTTCGGGGTAAAGCCATTGAAATTCCAAAAAGTGCAAGAACTTACACCGCAACAGAAAGAAAACAAACTCAAAAGAGCGAAAGAGTTGCTTCGCTTGGCCGAAAGTGGTGAACTGCCGAATTTGGTTTTCTCCGATGATTCGACATTCGTTGTCTAACAGTTTGTAAATAAACAAAATGATCGTGTTTACTTGCCAAAGAGGTCAGCTGAAAATGTACACCTTCGGTTAGCCACCAGAACTCAAGCGCCGGCCATAGTGATGGTGTGGGCCGCCATAACAGCCGATGGTCGCTCTCCGCTCGTATTAATCGACCGTGGCATCAGAATAAATGCCGAATATTATCGCGAACATATTCTAGAGGGTGTATTGAAGCCTTGGGTAAGTAAACATTTTGGCCGCAGCATGCGCCACCAAAGAATGGTTAGAAAATAAAGTTCCTCGCTTCATTTCCAGGACATAAAGGTCTCCAAAATCTCCAGATACCAATCCGTTGGACTAAAATGTCTGAAGTATTTTAGAAAGCAAGGTTGGCACCAAAAAATACCAAAGTGGAGATCACCTCAAGCAAGCCCTTCGCCGGGAATGGGCCAAAGTACCGCAGAGCAACATTCGGGCAGCGTGTGACGGTTTTATTTGCCGTTTAAGGCCAAAATTCGTTACAAAGGTGAGCAATTCGAACAAATCTAAACTTATTCTAAAACTTGATGCTATTACCGAAAATGTTTGCTTTTATTCAATAAAATTAAAAAAAAGTAAAAATGATTCCGTTTGACTCTGTTGCATTTTTATACCCTACACCACATAGTGGTAAGGGTATTATGTCTTTGTGCATTTGTTTGTAACATGGAGAAGACCCATAGTTACTTTTGAGGATCACCATAGAATCACTTTCTGAGTTGATTTATGCATGTCAGTCCGTCTGTTCGTCTTTCCGTCCGTCTTCCGTCTGTCCATATATTCTTGTGAACAAAATGCAGGTCGCATTCATTATCCGACTGAGATGAAATTTTCAAAACAACATTTGTTTGGCCCAAGGACGAACTCTATTGAAATTGGAGATAATCGGTAAAAAATTTAGATATAGCTCCCATATACATTTTCGTCCGATATTGTGCACCAAACGTGTAATATCAACCCGAATAGTATGGAATTTTGCACGTACAACCAAATTAGACCTGCAAATATGTATGCCAAATTTGATCGAAATCGGTTCAGACATAGCTATAGTTCCCATATATATTGTTCATCCGATTTGTTATTTAATATTTAATATGCACTCTGTAACAACGATATTTGGGGAAATATATCAAATGCAGCTCAGAAGTAACTTTGCTAAATTTTATCGAAATCGGTTCAGATTTGGATATAGCTTCCATATATAACTTCGTCCGATTTACCTTTTATTGTACACCAAACGTCTAATATTTGCCCAAATGGGATGGAATTTGGCACATACGACCGAATTGAGTCTAGAAGGTAGTATGCCAAATTTGGTGAAGATCGGTTCATATATATCTATAGCTCCCATATATATTGTTCATCCGATTTGTTGTATTTGTTACACACAGCCATAATATGCTCTACGTAACAACGATATTTAGGGAAAATATATCAAATACAGCTCAGAAATATATTTGCCAAATTTTATTGAGATCGGTTCAGATTTGGATATAGCTCCCATATTTATCTTTATTCGTTTTCAAAATAATTGCGCACCAAATGGATAATAAATGCAAATGCTTCGGCATATTTAGTCCTTTGAAATTTAAATTATAATTATAATCATAGCGTGTATGATTGAATTCTCCCATAAAAACTTTTAATTGTTATGTGGAGCTCTACTAAACTAGCAAAGTGGTGTAGGATATCGTAAAGTCGGCCCCGCCCGACTTTGTTAACAACTATGTCGTGAAATATAAAACTATAAAACTTAAATAGCAGAAAAATGAATAAATTGTTTTCGAAGTCGAGTGACTTCACTAGCCCTGAGTGACTTGACTGGCCCAAGGTCAACAATAGTGAAATCTGCCGGAAGGGGAAATTTTAAAACTTTTTAGTCTATACCTTTATTTGTCTATGATAATATCATAGACAAATTAATGTATAGACCAAAAAGTTGTCTCATCTGTTATCTCCGAAGAAAAGTGCTTCAATAGATGTCGTTCATGCTGTGAGAGAGCTTAAGTCTATTCACTCAATCCTCTCAAAATACAAAATATTGAATATTTTTATGATTTATTATTATTTATCAATTCCAAATGAAATAGTGACTTTGTTTACATTTACATTATTCGTCTATGTCGTGAGATATTAAAATATAGAACTTAAATAGCAGAAATTTTCGAAAATTGTAACTTAACTAGCCCTGAGTGACTTTACTGGCCCAAGATCAACCATGATGACTCTACCAGAAGGGGTAAATTTTAAAACTTCTTAATCTAGAGGTATAGATTAAGAAGTTTTAAAATTTGTCTTTGATTATATCCTAGACTTGGGGAAAATTCTACTAATATAATGCACTTAAAACGGATTCTGAATTAGAGTCACTCCTAATGGCATTCAGAATCACTTCTGAGGGCAGTTTATTAGTAGAAATTTCTTTAAGTCTAACCAGATATGATATTATCCTATAATTATCTTAGAGAGCTCTCTTGAAAAAGTTAAAAAGTTACTGATACCTAATAATACATTTCTCAAATACCTTCTGTTGAAGGCGATTTTCTTCGGTAAAAAAAAAAACTTAATTCCTTCAGATCTTCTGTAGACCTTCCTATAGATACATTTTATATGCCATTGAGCCATCTTTTGTTAGCGATGCTTCCATAAGTTTCTTAGTTTCCTTTGGTAATTTTCTGGCAACAAGTGAATCGATACGAATGAAAGAATCTATTTAGGAAACACATTTTGTTAATATTTTACAAACTATTACCTCACATCTACTTTTAATATTCTCCCATCAGTTATTTTTCACCCTCAACACGGAACTATTGTTGCTATTATTTACTTTGACATCTCACTGAAACAATAACTAACTCTATGACAAAGTCTAACTTACTTACCTAAATTTGATGTGGGCATCATTTAATTTATTGCCATCCTCTGCCAGCGGCAAACCTTTGGCTTTAACCAGCAATATCGTAACAACTGAACTCCAGATTTGAGACTTTAAACGTTTCGATGATTCAGCCAATTTTGAGTTTCGCTGGAAATGCTGGAAATGTGAAAAAAACCAGAGAGAATAGATTATTTATTATGTGTAATATGGGAAATGTAACAATTAGTTAGCACGGCATGATTCAATTCAAAGCTTCCTTCTCCGTAAACCACAAAAAATTTCAAGTTCATCGATAATGGTTTTGGAACTGAGTCATATAAACACAAGAAACTGATTGCAATACGAATTTCAATATTCAATTTTCTTTTCTTTTTTGTTCTGCACTCCCAACTAACATCACAAAAATCCTCCAATTCGTTGTGTAAATTTTCCGTCCATTGTTGCTGGGTTTTGCGCCAACGTTTCATCAATGCAATTTTATTCGCCAGACATTTACTGCCATTGATATTAAAAGTGTAGTTTTTCATGATTTTGATTTAATTTCCGCTTTCAAAATATTGACAACATTTCAGCGCCAGTCGAATTGCACTCTGTCGGTTCGTCTGTCTGTGTGTCTGCCTATGTGCCTTTTTTGCTATTTAGCGGCGGTTTGTTTGTAAAGCCCCCAAACACTTTGCCTTGTTCGACGATGCGAAATGAAACAAAGACTGACTAAATGAAGTTCGCTTGTGTTTTTTCGTACTTTGTGGCTAGACTTAGAAGAAAGAGCTAGTAAATATTTTGAAAACAAAAGTTTCATAATATTAATACACTGAGAGAAAATATTGAAAAGCTGATCTGAATCGAAAAAAACGCCAAAAATTATAGAATTTTGAAGAAAAATATAAATAAAATATAATCTGATGCTTATTTTGGATTTTATAAAACCTGAAGGAATGGTCCGATCTCTACCGCCTTTATAACGGATTTTTTGTGGAGGAGGTACCGGAGGAGGTACCGTGCCGAACCCCAGACCTTGAGTTAATAAAATTATTCATAGAGTAAGCCGATATTGTCTGCTTTCGCACCTGACCTAGCACTGACGCATATATTAGGAATTGCAAAATTGGAGCAAAATGGGATTATCCTTTTTCTTTCTGTGCAAAAAATATATTTATGGAAAATTTCGACCTTTTGTGGGGGAGGTACCAGAAGTAGGGGACCTATATTGCTCATCTCCGAACTCGATCTAAGTTTGACAAAAATATTACGATGTACCAAGTTTGCAACAAATCGGATACTCCTTTCGAGAGTTATAGTGCACTGGCAGTCAGCCAGTCAGTCAGACAAACGGACGGACGGACATCACTTGATCGACTCCAAATGTCCTGAAATGGATTTGGTCCAAAAAGACCTAGAGTTCAAAACCGTTATTTCGACTAGGCACGTTTTGATCGTATCAAATGATATATACCCTCTCTAGCCATATAGCTGAGGGTATAAAAACTACACCGACATAGATTATTTGCAATCAAATCGAGAATGATATTCATAGTCAAGAAGCTCAATTCAAGCAGACTCATTACTTAGGGTCTTCGATTTTAATCAAACATTTTTAAACTAATTATACCCTCAGCCCTATGGCAACCGAGGGTATATATCATTTGATACGGTCAAAACGAGCCTAGTCGAAATAACGGTTTTAAACCCTAGGTCTCTGTGGACCAAATCCGTTTCAGATCATTTGGAGTCGATCTAGCGATGTCCGTCCGTCTGTCTGTCTGACTGCTGGTGCGCACTATAACTCTCGAAAGGAGTATCCGATTTGGCCCAAACTTGGTACATCGTAATATTTTTGTCAAACTTAGATCGGGTTCGGAGATGGGCAATATCGGTCCACTCCTTTTGGTACCTCCCCCATAAAAGGTCGAAATTTCAAAAACTTAATTTTTTTTCTCATAAAATGTGATATAAGAGTCCGATTGTCTTCAAATTTCACACATCCCAATATTTATGTTAACCCAAGATCTGGTGTTAATATAGAATATATCGGTCCACTCCTTCTGGTACCTCTCCCACAAATGGTCGAAATTTCTGCACAGAAAAATTATTGATAATCCGATTTTGTTCTTACTTTGCAAATCCTGATATTTGCGTCAGTTCTAGGTCAGGTGCAAAAATGGATAATATCCGTCCATTCCATCAAGTACCTCCCAAAAAACGTCGAACTTTTGAATATCCATTAAGCTCTGAAAACACTAAATTAACATCCGATTCTATTCAGACTTGGCACATCTCAATATTTTCATAAACACAAGATCTTTTATAAAGATGTTAGAGATCGGACCATTCGTTCTGGTACCTCCCACACAAAGGGTCTAAGTTTTGAATAACCAAAACTAGCAAAGAATCCAAAATAAACATCCGGTTCTCTTCTTATTACACACGTCCCTTTGTTTCTACTTACTCAAGATCTGGTGTGAAGATAGGATGTATCGGTCCACTCCTTTTGGTACCTCCCCCACAAAGGGTCAATTCATCCATCATTTTGAGCATCCATGAAGCTCATAAAACGCAAAATTAACATCCGATTCCATTCAGACTTGGTGCGTCTGAATATTTTCATCAACACAATATCAGCTATAAAGATGGTAGATATCGGACAATTTCTTCTGGTACCTCCCCACATAGGGTTCAAGATTTTAAAAAACAAAACGCTCAAGGAATTCGAAAGAAGCATCCAAATATATCCATTAATTTCCTCAAATTTCCCACATACAAACATTATTGCTAACGCAATATCTGTTGTGAAGATCATATACATCTGCCAATCCCTTCTGGTACCTCACCCACAAAGCGTCACAATTTCCAATGCTTTTATCTGTCATAACTTGGGAAACAAGTCGTTGATTCTTTACAACTTGTTATATCTAAATATTTCTCTTAACCAGTATTCTGATATGAATATGTAATTTGTCGGAATTTATGATTAATGATTCGGACCGCTATATCTGTTACCTGACGCATATTTCCATTTTTCGAAAATTTTCACGTTCATAACTCAAGGCTGGGGGTATATATCTGTCGGCAAAAACGACTGATACTATTTAACTTGTTTCTGTTTTTCTTTCAGTGTATTTTAACGTAATTGAGTTTAACGCCAATTGTCAGTCAAGTACTCAGTCAATAGAGCAGAGAAAGTAAGCTGATTCATGCAAAGCGCTGCAGTGTGGGGTTTGAGCTTTACTGTAAAGTAACTCATTTGGTGCTTGTTATCGCTGTGTATTGGTCTGCTTGTGTGTGGTTTAGGCCACAGCTTTTGTTTTTTTTTTTTATCAAAGAAACATTCATTCTGTTAGTAAACATGCGGATAGCTAAAAATATAAACAATTGCACCAAATATGCCCTGCCAAGCCTAATTTGTAAGCTTTGTCGGAACGTGAACAAAACTGGCGCTCTACAATAAAATTAACATTTTAATTCCATTTTATAACACTTTGAAATATTTGTTTCCTTCATAGATATGTATAATCTTGATTGGAGTAATATTCTAAGACAATTTATGGCTTTATACGTCAGTGTGTCTATCTGACAGTCAGTCTGTTGAAATTCATGCTTTTCATAATAGAAATTTCAAACTTTACACAGACATTGGTGTGGCCAGTAGCATTTTTTGTACTGAATGTCGAACTATATTGGTCCACATTTAGATATAGCTTCAATGAAAAGTTCTTATTGTGTTGTGGCGAGATGGAACTTCAGGATTAAAAATTCAGCCATTGTTAACATTAGTGTTTGATTTCTGTTGATCATTTTCAAATATGCTGTTTGGCAGACCTTACCAATAACGGTTTTGCCCAATATAATTTTATACTAAATTTTCCCTCCCCAGTGTGGCCAAAATTGCGATCAAAAATAATCACTGTTGGTCCCAAACGTTTTCACCTGTTCAATTCTTTAAAAATAACGATGGTAACTCTAGAAATAAAATCACAAGGGAAATTAGAATTGTTGAGCTTCTAAAAATGTAGCATATTTTAAGGCTTTTGTTTTTTGGCATTAGAGTAATTTATTCATGTTGTTAACAGACCTCTATGAGAAGAACTTGTGGTCTTCTTAGAGAAAAACCTTTTGCCCTTCTACGAGAAAATTTTCGACCATTCTACGTGAAGACCCTTGAGCCTTCTACGAGAATGTCTTTGATCCTTCTCCGAGAAGACCAACTGATATTTTCCGAAAAAGACCAATTGATCTTCTCTGAAAAGAACAACTGATCTTCCAAAAAGACCAACTGATCTTCTCCGAAAAAAAAAAACAACTGATCTTCTCCGAGACGACCTTATGCTCTTCTTCGAGAACAGCTTCTTTTGCTCTTCCATGAAAAGAGCTTCTTTTGCTCTTCTATGCGAAGAGATTTTTTTCTCTTCTATGAACATAGCTTCTTTAGATCTTCTATGAGAAAACCGTCTTTTTTCTGCTCCTCTCTGAGAAGACCTTCTGCTCCTCTCTGAGAAGACCTTCTGCTCCTCTCTGAGAAGACCTTCTGCTCCTCTCTGAGAAGACCTTCTGCTCCTCTCTGAGAAGACCTTCTGCTCCTCTCTAAGAAGTGCTTCTGCTCCTCTCTGAGAAGACCTTCTGCTCCTCTCTAAGAAGTGCTTCTGCTCCTCTCTGAGAAGACCTTCTGCTCCTCTCTGAGAAGACCTTCTGCTCCTCTCTAAGAAGTGCTTCTGCTCCTCTCTGAGAAGACCTTCTGCTCCTCTCTGAGAAGACCTTCTGCTCCTCTCTAAGAAGTGCTTCTGCTCCTCTCTGAGAAGACCTTCTGCTCCTCTCTGAGAAGACCTTCTGCTCCTCTCTGAGAAGACCTTCTGCTCCTCTCTGAGAAGACCTTCTGCTCCTCTCTGAGAAGACCTTCTGCTCCTCTCTGAGAAGACCTTCTGCTCCTCTCTAAGAAGTGCTTCTGCTCTTCTCTAAGAAGTGCTTCTGCTCCTCTCTAAGAAGTGCTTCTGCTCTTCTCTAAGAAGTGCTTCTGCTCTTCTCTAAGAAGTGCTTCTGCTCTTCTCTGAGAAGACCTTCTGCTCTTCTCTGAGAAGACCTTCTGCTCTTCTCTGAGAAGACCTTCTGCTCTTCTCTGAGAAGACCTTCTGCTCTTCTCTGAGAAGACCTTCTGCTCTTCTCTGAAAGATCTTCTGCTCTTCTCTGAGAAGACCTTCTGCTCTTCTCTGAGAAGACCTTCTGCTCTGATCGGAGAAGGTCTTCTGCTTATTTCTGAGAGTAACTTCTGCTCTTCTCTGAGAAGACTTCTCTTCTCTCAGAAGATCGTCGGTTCTTCTATTATAAGAATTCTTTCTCCTTGAATAGATAATTTATACATAGAAATTGATTTAGTTCTTCTTTAGATAGAACTTTTGATTTCTCAATTAATAGGTTTCTAGTCGTCAATACGAAGACTTATGGTCTTCTGTTAGAAGACATTCTTCTGGATTCTACATATTTCCTCTCTATTTAAAATCCACTCATACAATGTTAATTTAGTGCAACAATCCTTCTCCTTCATTTACTTCACAACCATTTTTATCTTTATAGGTGGTCGTTACTGACAGTTTAAAAAGCTGTCATTGTCAACACCATTATCATGAATTTTGCACACTGTCAGTGTGTCATTGTGGGCGACCAAAAGCAGGACAATGGCATTTTCACACACAACAACATGACAGTTGGTGGCGGTTAGAAACAACTGAGCAAGGAGCGGCAATGATTCCAGACGATATCATTAATCACACTGCAGACGGAAAAAGTCCGTCCCCCAAAGCAAACAGACAAACAGAACAAGATGATGATGAGAAAATCTTTCACCGGCCCCTAAAGAGGACAACTTTTAAGTAGCCCATAAGAAAAAGACATAAATTGGATTGGGCCTAAAATAAAAGGACAAATCATAAACACACATATATTCGGCGCCAACTTCATTGTTTACATTTATTTGTTTTTTTTTTTTGCTCAAATTGTTGACTGTCATAAATAATTGCCCAAAAGGGAGAAGAAACGTCAAGACCAATCAAACATATCCCAAAGCGAATTGGAAATATTTCCGTTTAATACGATGACGGAAGATGGGAGAAATAAATGATTTATTTATATGTCCAATGTTCCCAGAAGAAGAAAAATATGAAGCGGCTTTATAGTGGTGGATAACCCCATAAAAGATGTCCGACACACATATTTCTTCCTCCATAGCCATATATTTTCCCGTTGATGTTTATACAAAGTTAATAGGCAAATTTATAACATTATTTATGGATAAGACGTCGGCATATTTATTTATTTATTGCCTCGGCCATAAAGCTTATTTGCATAACTTAATTTTGTTTATGGGAGAAAAAATGTATGACCAGATGTTTAATTTTTTTTGCACTCACCTGCTCTTTGTCCTCTTGACTGCGCGGCCACAGAGTCAAATTCACCAGAATTTCGCCCATTGGCCGGTCGGGGTGGTTGACATCGTGCAGCGCCAAATTGACATCTTCAGCAATGCCTAATTCCAGTTGTGTCAAATCGATTTTTGCCGATCCCATGAAATCGTCCTGCAGGCCCCAGTCGTAGTCGAATACCTTTAAGAGAGAGGCATGAAAATATGGATCAGAACATGATGGTGGTTGAAAAGTTAAAAAGGAAGGGCATTTTAAATTGACTTTTTATAATATTTTCATTTTCCATTTTTATACCATCCACCATAGTATGGAGGGTATATCAAGTTTGCCATTCCGTTTGTAAAATCTCGAAATATACATTTTATACCCTACATATATAGTATATATATATTCTTGATCAGCATAAAATTCTATGTCGATTTAGCGGTGACCGTCCGTCCGTCTGTCTGTCCGTCTGTGGAAATCACTCTAGCTTCCGAACGAATTGAAATAGGTTGATAAAATTTTACTCAGACGTCTAATTGTTCTCCAAGACTTTTGGTATTGAAAATGTGAAATAAAGGCCCACGTTTTGGTATAGCCCCCATTTAACAGTACCTCTCTATATTCGGTATTTTGATGACTTTTTCGACATAATTCGCCGGAATTGTTTCAAATTTTGTATTTGCAGTTCGTTGGTGTTTGTGTTTTATACCCTCCACCATACATAGTATGGAGGGTATATTAAGTTCGTCATTCCGTTTGTAACTCATCGAAATAATCATTTTAGACCCAGCAAAGTATATATATTCTTCTCTTCTGTCCGTCCGTCTGTCCATCTGTTGTAATCACGCTATAGTCTAAACGAATAAGGAATAAAGGAAGCTAAAATTTTGCACAGATCTCTCTTGTCTGCAGGCAGGTTAAGTTCGAAGATGGGTTATATCGGTCCACGATATCGTATAGCCCCCATATAACGGTACCCCCCAATATTCGGTATTTTGATGATTTTACCCACATTTTTCAACGGAATTGTCTGAAAATCCATATACGGAGTTCCTTATGGGTATTTTATACCTCGTAATAAGATTATCTATATAGGTCGACGATATCGTATAGCCCCCATATAACGGTACCCCCGATATTAGGTATTTTGATGATTATAGCCACATTTTCTAATGGAATGGTCTGAAAATTCACACAAGGAGTTACTTGTGATTGCTTCATCCCTTGAAAGAGAATTATCTATATAGGCCCACGATATCGAATAGCCTCCATATAACGGTACCCCCCGATATTCGGTATGTTGATGATTTTAGCCACATTTTTCAATTGAATGTCTGAAATTCCACACAAGGAGTCTCTTATGAGTATTTCACCCCCTGAAAAAGAATTGTCTATATAGGTCCACGATATCGCATATCTCCCATATAACGGTACCCCCCGATATTCGGTATTTTGATGACTTTACCCACATTTTTCAATGGAATTGTCTGATAATCCACACAAGGGGTTCTTTGTGTGCACTTTAGCCCCTGACATAGAGATCTTTATATAGGTTAACGATATCGTATAGCCCCCATATAACGGTACTCCAGTTATTCGGCATTATGATGATTTTAGTTATATATTCCAATGGTATTCTCTGAAAATCCACACAAGGATTTCTTTGTGAGCACTTTAACCTCCTGAAAGGTATTTGTCTATGTAGGTCCACAATATCGTATATCCTCCATATAACGGTAACCCCGATATTCGGGATTTTGATGATTTAAGCCACATTTCCCAATGGAATTATCTGAAAATCCACACAAGGAGTTCCTTGTGAGTACTTTACCCCAGACATAGATTTGTCTACATAGATCCACAATATCCACTATATAGGTGCCATATAACCGCACCTTCCGATATTAGGTATTTTAAAGATTTTAAATGAATTTTCAATGGATTTTATTTTTTTGAAAATTTTCTAATTCGTTTCAAATGGTGGAGGGTATTCAAAGTTCGACCCGGCCGAACTTACTGCTTTTTTACTTGTTTTTTTTTTTTTTTTGAAAACTTCCATATTTTTTCCAAATGGAGGATGGTGTTCAAAGTTCAACCCAGTCGAACTTATAGCTTTTACTTATTTTCGTTAAAAAACAAGTTAAAAGGTATCAATCGGTTTTACCGGCAGGTGTATACCCTTAGTCAATGTTCGATTGTTTAACTATATTTTGACTTCTTTTTTGATAAATCAAATTGTTGGCACTCTATTTCGTATCAAACCTAAATAAATAAGATATAAAAATTGCGATGTGCGAGGTTTGTAATGTATTAGTTACTTCCTTCACTTTACAGGGTGAGGTGAAAAAACTGCAATCAACTTCAGACTGTTCTCATTTCTAAGACACTCGTCCGACAGCTTTTAATACTATTCCAGTTAAAGCTCATTATATTGTTTAAAAAAGTTATTCGTGATGGAATTCCAAGGTTGGAAAACAACAATTGGCTATCGTTAGAGCACTCCAGCATTTAAATGTGAATAAATCTTTTGTGTCTCGCATCATCGCTCGTTTCCGTGATACTGGTAGCGTAGCCCGACGTTAAGGAAGTGGACAGAAGAAAACATCAACATCAGCAGAAATGGTTCGAAAAGTAAAGAAGCGATTTGATCGAAACCCGCATCGCTGTGGCCGAAAAATGGCTCATGAGCTGAACATATCGCAATATCCCATTCGGCAAATATTGAAAAAATTAGCTCGGGGTAAAGCCATTGAAATTCAAAATTCAAAAAAGTGCAAGTGCAAAAGGGCTAAAGATTTGCTTCACTTGGCCGAAAGTGGTGAACTGCCGAATTTGGTTTTCTCCGATGGGAAAAAATATACCAGTCCAGCAGTTTGTAAAAAAACAAAATGAATGTGTTTACTTGCCCAAGAGGTCAGCTGAAAATCTGCTCCTTCGGTTCGCCACCAGAACTCAAGCGTCGGCCATGGTGATGGTGGGGGCCGCCATCACAGCCGGTGGTCGCTTTCCGCTCGTATTAATCGACCATTCCTCGTATAAATCGATCTAGGGCACGCAAACATTTTGGCTGCAGACCTTGAACATTCCAACAGGACTCAGCACGCACCACCCAAGATTGGTTACAAAATTGGGTTCCTCGCTTCATTTCCAGCCCACAATGGCCACCAAAATCTCGGGATAACCAATCCGTTGGACTGGTATCCACTAAAAATATTGGGCACTAAATAATACCAAAGTGTCGATCACCTCAAGCAAGGGCTTCGCCGGGAATGGGCCAAAATACCGCAGAGCAACATTCGGCAGCGTGTGACGTTTCATTGGCCGTTTGAAGGCCATAATTCGTGCCTAAAGTGACCAATTCGAACAAATCTAAAGTTATTCTAAAATGTGATGCTATTTCCGAAATTTTTGCTTTTATTCAATAAAATTAAAAAAAAAGTAAAAATTATGGCGTTTGACTTTGTTGCAGTTTTTTTATATTACCCTGTATATGTACGAATAGTGCTGAATGTTACTAAATTTTGTTATTGAGTGAATATATAGATCTGGAATCCCGAATTTTGAAATTTACTTCTCTGTTAGTATCTGGTGGTGGTTTTGCAAATGCTATCTATAATTGTTCGAAAAGTAGTCATTTTGGATCACTTTTGGTTTCTAGGATAGCTTTACTAAATATACACAGTGTTGTGGGGATCACATAGTCCACCACGCCCGACTTTTGACCTATTACTGGTTTTATCTTTTTTAAGTCCTTTTGAAGCTGTTATAGCTTGAATATAATAAACTAACGAAATTATGGCGTTTGACTTTGTTGCAGTTATAGTTTTATATCACCCTGTATATGAGATATGTCTTAATTTAAAAATGTTTGCATTTGTGAAATTTGAAGAGAACCGGATGCTCATTTCACGTTTTGTTTTTTCAAAATGATGAACCCTTTGTGGGGGAAGCATCGGAAGGAGTACGCCGATATATGTCATCTTCACAGCAGGTATTGTGTTAGTAAAAAAACAAGTAAAAAAACATTAAGTTCGGCCTGGCCAAACTTTTAATACCCTCCACCTTAGGGTAAAAGAAACATTAGAAGAAATCTGGCAAAAACCATTAAAATGCCGAATATCGGGAGGTGCCGTTATATGCGGGCTACGCCAAAACGTGGACCTATAAATGCAATGTTTCGCTACACGAACTAGGATCCATTATGACCCACAAATACCAATTTTTAGACAAATCAGTGAAAAAATGTGGCAAAAAAATTAAAATACCGAATATCGGGAGGTACCTTTATATGGGGGTTATACCACAACGTGGACCTATACATGTAATGTTTTGCCAAGGTGGAGGTATAATAATGGCAAATGTGAATTTGTAGGGGAACCGGATGCTTATTTCAGGTTTTATGATCGTTTTGTTTATTTAAAACCTTGACCCTTTGTTTAGGAGGTACCAGAAGGTCCGATCTCAACCATCTTTATAACAGATATTTTGTTGATAAAATATTGAGATGTTCCAAAATTTGAATAGAATCGGATGTTAATTTCGCGTTTTATGAGCTTCATGAATATTCAACATTTTGACCGTTTGTGGGGGATGTACCAGAAGGAGCGCGCCGATATATTCAATCTTCACACCAGACCATGGGTTAATAAAAATATTGTAATGTATGTAATTTGAATACAATAGGACTCTTACATCACATTATAATTATAAGAGTTGTAATTATTCAAAATATGGACCCTTTGTGGGGGCGGTACTTGATGGAGTGCACCGATATTATCCAGTTTTGCATCTGACGTTGGAGCAAAATCGGTTTATCCCTTCTCTTTCTGTGCAGAAAAATATTTTTTTTTAAATTTTTGACCTTTTGTGGTGGAAGGAGTGGACCGATATTGGCCATCTCCGAACTCGATGTAAGTTTCACAGAAAAAAATTACGGTGTATCAACCAAATCGGATACTGCCTTCGAGAGATTTTGTGCGTAGCAGCCAGACAGACAGACAGAAAGACGGACGGACATCGCTAGATCGACTCAAAATGTCCTGAAACCGATTTGGTCCAAGGAGCCCTAGGGTCTAAAACCGTTATTTTGATGAGGCACGTTTTGAGCATATCAAATGATATATACCCTCTCTAGCCATATGCTTGAGGGTATAAATATCAATGCGATCTCAAATGGGTCCTTTTTAAAACAATTCTTTTTATTTTGATTTTAAAACTTTTTGCTGTTACTCTCCCCGCCTTGTCCTACTGTCCTTCTCCATTTAATCAGTCATGTAAATTGCTCCCCTTTCCGGATGACCCAACTATTTTAGGTATACTTGTGTAAATGTTGTCACTAAGCCAATTGCCAAGAGGACTCTTTAAATTTAGGTCAACAGAACTCCCTTAAGGTTATTCAATTTAAAAGTGTTTCGACATTTAATAAATGTCATCAAATATTAAGGGCATCCAATTTCAAGTAATTGTCCGTAAACATTATTAAGTTACGTTTAATTTGTGTGTACCCTCCTCGAAAATGAATATTGGCAATGCGTTGTTCTGGGAATAGTTAGAGACAAATGAGCCACACAGCAATGAATGTAATGCGGATGAGTTGTACGTCATCATTTTCAATTGCCCTCTCATTATCATGATATTCTTTATCCAGCAATGGAAACGAAAGAAGATTTCCGTTTTCTGTTTTATTTTGACTTATTTATTTCAGATCCTTTTCATTTTACAATGTTCGCTATTGTTGGCCAATTTATAGAAATTGCAATTATTTATTTACTGCAAAGGAAAATTGAAAAAAGGATGGAAGACACATTGGCATTCAATTATTTATACTCTTCATCACAATGCGAATGAATATAATTTGGTTAGTTTATAACATTTAAGCTATAACAGCTTCAAAAGGACTTTAAAAATATAAAAGCAGTAAAAGGTGTGATACCCTCAATACTATGCATATTTAGTAGAGCTATCCTTGAAACCAAAAGTGATCCAAAACGACTACTATTTAGTACTTTTCGAACAATTATAGATAGCATTTGCAAAAACCACCACCAGATACAAACAGATAAGTAAATATCAAATTTCGGGATTCCAGATCTATATATTCACTCAATAACAAAATTTAGTAACATTCGTAAATATACAGGTTGAGATAAAAAACTGCAACAAAGTCAAACGCCATAATTTTTATTTTTTTTTTGTTAATAATAATTGAACGAAAGCAAAAAATGTCGGAAATAGCATCTAATTTTAGAATAATTTTAGATTTGTTCGAATTGGTCACTTTTGACACGAATTAGGGCCTTCAAACGGCCAATGAAACAGTCACACGCTGCTCGAATGCTGTTCTGCGGTATTTTGGCCAATTCCCGGCGAAGCGCTTGCTTAAGGTGATCGACATTTGGGTAATATTTAGTGCCAACCTTGCTGTCCAAAATACTCCAGACACAATACTCCAACGGATTGGTATTCGGAGATTTTGGTGGCCATTATGCGCTTGAAATGAAGCGAGGAACCTCATTTTGTAATCATTCTTGGTTGGCGCTTGCGATGGTGCAGAGTCCCTATGAAATGTCTAAGGTCTACAGCCAAAATGTTGGCGTGCTCAACGCTTTAATACACCCTCCAGAATATTTTCGCTATAATATTCGTAATTTTTTCTGATGCCACGGTTGATCATCGGCTGTTTTGGCGGCCCACACCATCACCATGGCCGGCGATTGAGTTCTGGTGGCCAACAGAAGGTGCAAATTCTCAGCTGACCTCTTTGGCAAGTAAACATGATAATTTTGTTTGTTTACAAACTGCTGGGCAACGAATGTTTTCTCATCGGAGAAACCCGAATTCGGCAGTTCAACACTTTTGGCCAAGCGAAGTAAATCTTTATCTCTTTTGAGTCTATTTTCTTTCTGTTGCGGTGTAAGCTCTTGCACTATTCGGAATTTCAATGGCTTTACCCCGAGCTCATTTTTTTTTAATGAATCATTTAGTCAGTCAGTCACTCTTTTTGTGCCTAAGTCTTTATTCCAAATTTCAGAATTCCAGTCCCATCGATTCACACAAACCCAAATTGTGGCACATTTAGTTCAAATAAGTACGAATTCCCAAAACTTCCTTTATACCTCATACTTCAATTCCTCAATAACACACACACACACACACACACACACACACACACACATATATATATATATATATATATATATATATATATATATATATATATATATATATATATATATATATATATATATATATATATATATATATATATATATCATTTCCCAATTTCAGTATATCAGCCCTATCAGTTTGCCCAAATACAAATTTTACCAAATTTAGTACCATATAGTACACATAAGTACGAAGTTCCAAAAATTCCTGCATACCCTAATCCTTCACTTTAATAGTAATCTTAATTTAAAATTTTATGATTCCAGCTCTATCAGTTCACCCAAATCCATAATGTGCTAAATTTAGTACATTTTATTACATATAAGTACAAAATTTCCATATCCCAATCCTACACTCACCTTATTCCTAAATTTCGAGGTACTAACTCCATTGGTTCACCCAAATCCAAATGATACCAAATTTAGTATCATTAAGTACACTTAAGTACAAATTTCCACAATTTCCTACATACCCCAATCCTTCAATGCAAAAGTAATCTTATTTCCATATTTCACTGTAGCCCCTTTAAATGAACTAGAATGTACAAAAGAAAATTTCACTTGGAAGGTGGTCTGGGCAAATGCTTTACATTATCCTAAAAATGTATGGTTGTATGTAAGTTGCCTTGTAACAAACAGGTGTTAACTTTGTTCAATTCAATTTTGTACATCTTCTTCACGTAATCTTCTTATTTTTCATTTACAATCGGCCACACGTTTCTCTAACAATTGACGGCGTCGTGCCTAATCATAAAACTCACCTTAACAATAATTGGCTCAAAAGGATCTTCAATTGGCACCACAAAAACTTCATCCCACACGGGATTCAAATCTCGATGTATTGTGCGGGATTTGTGTAAGAGGCGGCCGCCCATTTTAAATTTAACATAAGGATCACTCAGACCTGAAAAGAAATGAAGAAAAAGAAACACACCGACACATAATTTACAAACTGTATCCAATGCAAAAGCAACAAAAAGATGAAAAACGTTTCAAATCAGTCCACTTTGCACTCACCATTTTTATCCATGGCCACTAAATCACTGCCATTCTTGAGATGAACACGTAGTTGAAAGAAGACATATTGACGTAATTGGGCTTCCTTTTTGCGGCGTTTCTCTTCGGCCTTTTCAAAATGTGACAAGGCAAAAAAAATATTAGAGAATGTGTTGGAAAAAAAAAGAAAATGGAAAAATGCAATTATCAACAGTTGGTAAATCTCTAGACACTTATTAGATTCTTAATTAGGCCACACAGTAGTTGGAATACCCACCTGTAAATGTTCAATTTGCCGGGCTGTCAAATGCGAATCATTGGCCCCATAATTGCTGCCCCCATTCTCAGGATGCTCATCAATCCGTCCCTCCATGGAACCACCAAATCTCTGGATGGCCTGGGCCATTCTAGCGGTGGCCTTAAATTCCTTGGCCAAAGGTGAACCTCCTATGGTCTTCGATCTATGCCTTGGCGATTGGGTGACAGAACTACTCTCCGAACTGTAGTCGGCAGCATAATCCGTACTCTCCTCGAGAAAATCATTAGGTGACTTACGCCCCACCCGATCCTTACTTTTCGCTCGTCCCCAACGATGTTTCAGATTATTAAAGAAGCCATGGGTTTTCTGCAACACCCCTCCTCCGCCACTTGAGGATGTGTGTGGCGCAGCTGCACTTTTCGCCCGTTTCGGTGATGTCTGCGGTGATTCCTTGTGACCGTTCAATTCGGAGGCTGATTTACTTAAATGCTGTCCTAAACGTTGGCGGGATTGTGGCGAACCGTGTGGTGTGGCCGAGGGTGTTAGGTTTATGGACTCCTTGCTGTTGAATTCTTGACGACGATATTCCGAACGATACTCTTCGCTTGCCAACACATCGTCACTGTAGTGGATACGTGCTGTAAAATAAAGGAATCGTAAGAAAAAGGACAAAAGGATTTAATGCCTTGTTTTGTACATTCATGTCAGTTGTCACGTCACACGTCGTGTCTGTTCGATTTCAAATTAAAACAAATTGACTGAGTGAATGGGTACATCTGTGTTCAACATTTAACATGTTCTGAGGATAAATTGAAAAAGTCCTATGCCAAGATACAGATGTGGGTGGCATTTGTGGGATGTGGTGTGGGTGGCATTTAAATTGATTAATTAATTGCGACCCAAGATTATGGGGAAAAGATGGAACGTGATGTCAAGGTTAGGGCAACTTTAACAGTTGCTGTAACAGTAGGATTCATACGTTTAAATAGGCGAAAAAGCCATTAAATTTAATATGACTTATATTAAATTAACATACTATTTTAAAAATTTTATTATTTTATTAATGCAAATAGTTGTTTAGCTTTTTATCCCAATAGATTCAATGTTATTTTCAATAAATCAATAAATATTTTGAATCAAAATCGATGAAAAGTTAATGAGAAAGTTTCAGGTGATTTGTAAACCGATGCATTCTTCAGCTGACTAACCACATGTAGCCAAAAGGAATGATTTGTATCACATAAGAAATTCAAAGCGCAAAAAGGCCTTTAGTTTTTTATACCCTCAGCCATATGGCTACAGAGGATATATATCATTTTTTTTACCCTCAGCCATATGGCTACAGAGGGTATATATCATTTGATACGGTCAAAACGTACCTAGTCGAAATAACGGTTTTAGATCCTAGGTCTCTTTAGACCAAATCCGTTTCAAAACATTTGGAGTCGATCTAGCGATATCCGTCCATCCATATATCTGGCTGGCTGGTGCGCACGATAACTCTCGAAGGAAGTATCCGATGTGGTCCAAACTTGGTACATCGTAATATTTTTGTCAAACTTAGGAGATGGGCAATATCGGTCCACTCCTTCTGGTACCTCCCCAAAAAAATTTCGAAATTTTCAAAAAAATTATTTTTTGCACAGAAAGAGAAACGGTAATCCGATTTTGCTTCAACTTTGCAAATCTTAATATTTGTGTCAGTACTAGGTCAAGTGTGAAAATGGACAATATCGGTCCACTCCATCAAGTACCTCCCCCACAAATGGTCAAAATTTTGAATAATTACAGCTCTTATAAAATTTGATAAAAGAATCCGATTGTCTTCAAATGTCACACATGCCAATACTTATGTTAGCCCAAGGTCTGATGTCAAGATGGAATATATCGGTCCATTCCTTCTGGTAAATCCCCCACAAATGTTCGAAATTTGAAAAAAAAAAATTTTTTTGCACAGAAAGAGAAACGATCATCCGATTTTGCTCAAACTTTGCAAATCTTAATATTTGTGTCAGTACTAGGTCAAGTGTGTGTCAAATGGACAAGATCGGTCTACTCCTTCTGGTACCTCCCCCACAAATGGTCAAAATTTTAAATAATTAAAACTCTCATAAAATTGATGTAAGAGTCCGATTGTCTTGAAATTTCACACATCCCAATATTTAATGTAACATAAGGTCTGGTGTTAAGATGGAATATATCGGTCCATTCCTTCTGGTACCTCTCCCACAAATGGTCGAAATTTGAAAAAAAAAAATATTTTTTTGCACAGAAAGAGAAACGATAATCCAATTTTGCTCAAACTTTACAAATCCTTATATTTTCGTTAGTACTAGGTCAAGTGTGAAAATGGACAAGATCGGTCTACTCCTTCTGGTACCTCCCCCACAAAGGGTCAAAATATTAAATAATTAAAACTCTCATAAAATTGATGTAAGAGTCCGATTGTCTTTAAATTTCACACATCCCAATGTTTAATGTAACCCAAGGTCTGGTGTTAAGATGGAATATATCGGTCCACTCCTTCTGGTACCTCCCACAGAAATGATCGAGATTTTCAAAAAATATATATTTTCTGCACAGAAAGAGAATCGATAATCCGATATTGTTCTAACTTTGCAAATCCTGATATTTACGTCAGTTATAGATCAGGTGCAAAAATGGACAATATCGGTCCATTCCATCAAGTACCTCCCCCACAAAAGGTCGGAATTTTAAATATCTATCAAGCTCTTAAAACACTAAATTAACATCCGATTCTATTCAGACTTGGATGATATAAGAGACCGATTGTCTTCAAATTTCACATATCCCAATAATTTTATTAACCCAAGGTCCGGTGCCAAGATGAAATACATCGGTCCACTCCTTGTGGCACCTCCCCCACAAAGGGTCAAAATTTTTAGTATCCATGAAGCTCGTAAAGCGCAAAATTAACATTCGATTCTATTCAGACTTGAAGCTTCTCAATTTTTTTTATCAACACAAGATCTGCCAACTTATAATTGTCATAACTTGCGAAACAAGTCGGTGATTCTTGCTATATCTAAATATTTCTCTTAACCAGTATTCTGATATGAATATGTAATTTGTCGGAATTTATGATTTCGCATAAAATTGGATACGTTTGTTCAATTTCCTTCAAATTTTGCACATACCAATATATTTTATCTGTATTGGATGAAGTATGAAAATGGAAAACTTCGGTCCGCTATATCGGTTACCCGCCGCATATTTCCCAAAAAGTGCACATATCTCATATAAAGTACAAGAAGTAGTCGATATAGTCTGTCACGTACATAACTCAAGGCTGGGGGTATACATCTGTCGGAAAAACCGACTGATACTATTTTACTTGTTTTAAAAATTAAAAAATCGTGAGAAAATCTTATAAAGCATAAAGTCCTTGAAATAATAAATACAATAAAATCCACGATTTTAGGAATTCATGATTTTTGACCGAGCAGAGGTCCTTAATGTGTTCTTATTTTTTAAAGTTTGTCATTCCGTTTGTAACATCTCGAAATATACATTTTAGACCCCACAAAATATGTACATTTTTGATTTAGCGCAGTCCGTCCGTCTGTCTCTCTGTGGAAATCACTCTAGCTTCCGAACGAAATAAAGTAGGTTGATAAACTTTTACTCAAATGTATATTATATCTGTAGGACTTTGGGTATTGAAAATGGGCCATTTAGCTTCACGTCTTCGTATAGCCCCCTTATAACGGTACATCCCGATATTCGGTACTTTAATGATTTTAGCGAGATTATTCACCAGAATTGTTTCACATTTGGTATTTGAAGTTCGAAATGTATACTACAGCCTAAGACAGAAAATTATCTGTGCAGGTTCACGTCTTCGTTATCCCCCATATAAAGGTACCTTCCGATATTGATATTTTGATATTTTCAGCGAAATTATTAACCGGAATTGTTTCAAATTTGGTATTTGAAGTTTGAAATATAGCCTAAGGCAGAAAATTATCTGTGCAGGTCCACGTCTTTGTAAAGCCTCCATATAACGGTACCTCCCTATATTCGGTATTTCGATGATTTTAGCGACATTATTCACCGGAATTGTTTCAATTTTGATATTTGAAGTTCGTAATGGGAACTACTACTATCAGCACCTCCCTATATTCGGTATTTTGACGAGCTTAGGTACACAACCCACCGAAATTGTTTGAGATGTCGTATTTGAAGTTCGTAATGGATGCTACAGTCTGTGACAGAAAATTGTCTATGCTGGTCCAGATCTTCGTTATCCGTTATATCGGATAACGGTACATCCCTATATATGATATGTTGATGATTTTAGCTACAGTATTCACCGTTTATTTCAAGTTTCGAATTTGAATATGGTATTAGGTTATGACAAACAATGCCTATGTAGGTCCACATCGTATAGACCTCAATATAATGGCTATATTCGGTATTTTTAGTAGAATTTTTAAAGGATTGTATTTTTTGAAAATGTTCAAATTCGTTCCAAATGGTGGAGGGTATTCAAAGTTCGACCCGCTCGAATTTACTGCTTTTTAACTTGTTTTAATTCAAATTTTATATGCCTGAAGGTGGAGGTTTTTGAGAAAAACTTTTGAAAAATTAACGGGGACCTCGAGCAATATTTTTATTAAATTCACGACTTATATAACCAAGAGGCCCTTGGAAATACTTTAAAAAAATCAACGGAGTGAGCAATATTTTTTTTAAGTCCAGGATTTTTATCCATGATTTATGCAGCCAGGAGGTCCTTTAGAAATGTTTTTAACAAATCCCTTAGGTCCCAGAGAAAAATACATGACAAATCGCTAGGTCCTTCAGACATGTTTTCAAAAAGTCCTCAATTTATGTAGCCAAGAGGCCCTCGAGGATTATTTTAAAAAATCTACGATTGAAGCTAGTTGAGAACAACATTTTTGCAATATCTATAATTAATTTAGCAAAGTGGACCTTAGAAAATATTTTTGAAAAATACCCAAAGTCCTTCAGATTTATTTATGAAAATTGAAAAAAAAAAGAAATTTTTAAAAAATCTATGATTTATGTAGCGAGGAGGTTCTTCAGATTATTTTAGAAAGTTCCTTTAAATATCAAATAATATTTTCACGATTCACGATTTATATAGTCTGGTGGTACTTGCAAATAACTTTTATAGACAGAAAGCCCTCGTGAAATACTTTTTTTTAAATCCAAGATTCCGAATATCTTGGTGTGAATGTCCTCGATTTTTTTTAATTTATGATTCTTTGACATTTTTTTCTTTAGTTCGTGATTCTCGCAGGATGTTTTTGTTTCTCTTTATCTACCGATCCTAGGATTCCCTAATTTTTTTAATACCATAATTTTTGGCCAGAATGTTCTTAATTTTTTTAATCCATGGTTTGTGGACACAAAATTCAATATATTTGACCAGGAGATCCTTGCCAATTTTTCTTGTCCTTAACTTTTATAGATTCAGTATTTTTGGTTAAAAGGTTCTTGATATTTAAAAGCACGGCTCTTTGACAACAATCCACGATTCTTGATCTGGAGGTTGTTGAATATATCCTTAATATCTTTAAATTCAGGATAACTGTCCAAGATGTCCTTGCTTTTTTAAAATCCACAATTTTTGTTCATATATAAATCCACG